ATTTTTAAATATTCTCGAAGACCATATCGGCACGTTTCCCAAATTTATTGTATTATTCTTAGTACTGTAAAGGTTAACAACTTTTTCGCAATAGGGTCATCAAAAAATAAAATTGATTAATTGTTAAAGTTTTTGTGTCAAAAACAACATTTTTGGATAATACATTATGCCTGATAAAATATTAATAGATACAAAAATTCCCAATGTTAAAAATGTGAAAACAAAAAAATTAACATATATAGCTTGAAGTAAAATAAAGACAATTAATCTGTACTGTATACAATTATAATTATATTTATTAATTTCTGTAAAAACTAAGTTTACGTTAAAGTGTATATATCTTTGTTATTAATAAAGAGAAAAATATGTTTTATACGTCATTTTATAGATAATTTATTAGGCAACATATGTTGTATTAACATATTTTATCTATTTTGAACAAAATTCGAGATATCGTTAATAAACCAAGCTAACGTTCAAAAAGCTAGAGTGCTATCTTAAAATTAATATATATTTGTTATTAATATAGATAAAAATATGTTTTATACACCATTTTGTAGATAATTTAATATTCATCAAAAGGTTATTTTTACATATTTTTTCTATTTTCAACAAAATTCGAGATATCTTTAATAAACTAAGTTAACGTTCAAAATGCTAGTGGTATCTTAAAATATATCTTTGTTATTAATATAGATAAAAATATGTATTATACACCATTTTGTAGATAATTTAATATACAACAAAAGTTATAAAAACATATTTTTTCTATTTTCAACAAAATTCGAGATATCTTTTATAAACTAAGTTGATCTTGAAAATGTTGTAGTGCTATCTTAAAATTAAGATATCTTCGTTACTTTTAAAGATAAAAATATGCTTCACACATCATTTTGTAGATAATTTTTAATATATCTCAAAAAATTAAAATTGGTGCACAATGTACATTTAATTAAAGTTAAAATTTACAACCACTTAAAGGTTCTAGTGACTTTTTGCAGTTGTACCAACAATAAAGTCCGTATCTAAACACATCGCGGGCTGTAATTGTAATTTATGTTTCTACCTCGCCAGTAAATAAAATATAAATAAATAACCCATAAAATGTTCGGATTCTATACAATACATTGTATAGCCTGGATATGAGGACATTAAAATTTTGCGAAAAAATTGAAATTTAATGTCTTTTTCTTATGGACTACAAGCGCACCAACTGAAGAAAAAAATGCTTTAATAGCGATTATAACTCAGCTACATTGTAGATTTCATAGACTATAGCCATGGTAATCTTTATAGTTTTGGAATTTAGGTCCGTAACTTTTGTAATAATTGGGCTATAAAGATAAATTATGTGCCAGTTTGTTGGTGGTAATTTTATAGTGAGCAAAAAGTACGTTTATACATTTTTTCGTAGTTCATTTGATTTTCGAGCAATATTCAAAAAAACGATACAATGTTTTCTTAGGTGGGTGCAAATGACAGACCTTACTTTAACACCCTGTAACTTTGTTGTTTATAAAGATAAAAATATTATTTTGGCACCATTTTGTAGATAATTTAATGCAGAATAAAAACTATAATTACAGATTTTCACATATTTTTACTAGTTTTCGAGTAAATCGAGATATGGTGTGTATTAGTAAAATCCTAGACTTCCTCTCAATTGTATTGATCTAAAAATCTTTAAAACTGAATAATTTCCTATTAAAGTAAAGTGTTTACTGACTTCATGCCGGTTAAAGTCCTTAATTGATAGAACAAATAAAATATTTATTAAGTACGTTTATGAAATTTTATGAATAATAAAAAGTAGTCTAAATTGGACGAATTGGTTGAATTGACGTGAGACGCTCCCCCAGCCTTCCATGATTTTATTGAGTCAATTGTAGTGATTGTGAGTTTTTTATTGAAGAGAGACAGAAACACCGTTTTGTCATTTTTCATCGTTTACAGGCTGTTTCCTTTTTTAGAGAGACGAGCTGCTACGAAAAGAGGGGAACCAATTTAGACTCGTTTAGTTTTAAACGAGCGTAGCTTTGTTATTTTTTATGCGATTTAAAATTTGAATGCAACAAAATAAAGAACACAATTTAAGCTTTAAAAAACATATACACTTTATGTTTATCACGAAAATATTTTTCGAGATATCATGGAAAGTACAAGAGCATGTCAGAATTTCTTACATATCAACTTAAACGCGATGTGGTTCTTTTGTTTTTTCGTCAAAAATTGTGTAATTATATGAAATTGTAGCCCACTTATTAAGCTTTCCAAAACTATCTTGATCTTATTTTTATCTTTTACCGTTTTTGAGATATCATCAAAAATATAACGTGATGTTCATCTCGCCTTTGTCATTCTAAGTGTTTTTTTAAAGGTCAACAACTTTTTTAATATTAATGCAAATTCAAAATGTTTCCATGGACTTGTAGCTCCATTGCTAAGCTTTCTAAAACTATCTTATCTTAGTTGTATCCTTTCCCGTTTTCGAGATATCTTGAATTTTATTTGGTGGCGACTTCATCGCTCTATAACTTTTTAAATAATTTTTCAAACTTAATAAAATTAATATGCTTTTGTAGGGCAATAAATAGGCTTTGAAAAGAGGTATTGTTTTTTTAAATGCAATCGATAAAAGCCGAGATATCTTGGAATTTGTGAAAGCTCGCCATTAACTATTTAATGTTTTGATTTCAAAGAGCAGATTTTTAATGATGTTGGAGTTAAACAATAATATAAATTCCATTGACTTGGGCGGTTGGTGTTCTTAGAAAATTTTACAATAAAGAGTTTTAATAATTTTCTGCAAAATTAAGCGCAGCACGCATAAATATTCTTTTGTCTGAGGCCAAGTGTTGTTTTTAATATTTTTTCCGGGAATGTTTAAGATTTTTGTGGATATTTTAAGAACTCTTTGGAATAGATAGAGAATATTCGAAATAAATTACCCATGATTTAATTAAATTCGGGACGGTTCAAATGTATATGACCCCTACACATCTGTTTTAACAGAATACCAAAAATGATTTTATAGTAAGTAAATAAAAATTAATTTAAATACGAACAAACACCATATGGTATATTAATATCTAAACCAACACACAAAATAGTTTAGATTTAATTTTTATTAATTTTTTCACTGTAAACGATTTTTAATAGCCGTATAATAACATAAATTATAGACTTTGAAACCGTAAAAATCAACGGTATCTAGAACGTTAAAAAAAATTTGCACAGTCACATAGTTTTTTGTAGATAATTAAAAATCTATAAAAGTTGGAGAAAATGTTCAAACTCCATTTTGTTAAGCGTTAAATTGTCCACAAAATAACGTCAAGGGGATTTTTTTAACCTAAAAAACAACAGGGTTATCCTATCTTAAACTAATCGTTAATGTGTGTTGTCACTGTTACAGTTTTTTTTATTTATCTAAAAAAACTACACAAAATATAAAAATATCGTTTAATGCATTTTTATTGTACACAAAATTGTCTACAAATGTATGTAAAAATAATTCAAATATCTCGAAAATTAACCGAGATATCTCGATTTAAACTTAACTCTCTTGTATCGCATTATGTCTTTTGCCACTGTTTTTTCATTTATCTAAAAAACTACACAAAATATAAAAATATCGTTTAATGCATTTTAATTGTACACAAAATTGTCTACAAATGTATGTAAAAATAATTCAAATATCTCGAAAATTAACCGAGATATCTCGATTTAAACTTAACTGTCTTGTATCGCATTATGTCTCTTGTCAATGTTTTTTCATTTATCTAAAAAACTACACAAAATATAAAAATATCGTTTAAGGCATTTTTATTGTACACAAAATTGTCTACAAATGTATGTAAAAATAATTCAAATATCTCGAAAATTAACCGAGATATCTCGATTTAAACTTAACTGTCTTGTATCGCATTATGTCTCTTGTCAATGTTTTTTCATTTATCTAAAAAACTACACAAAATATAAAAATATCGTTTAATGCATTTTTATTGTACACAAAATTGTCTACAAATGTATGTAAAAATAATTCAAATATCTCTAAAATTAACCGAGATATCTCGATTTAAACTTAACTCTCTTGTATCGCATTATGTCTTTTGCCACTGTTTTTTCATTTATCTAAAAAACTACACAAAATATAAAAATATCGTTTAATGCATTTTTATTGTACACAAAATTGTCTACAAATGTATGTAAAAATAATTCAAATATCTCGAAAATTAACCGAGATATCTCGATTTAAACTTAACTCTCTTGTATCGCATTATGTCTTTTGCCACTGTTTTTCCATTTATCTAAAAAACTACACATAATATAAAAATATCGTTAAATGCATTTTTATTGTATACAAAATTGTCTACAAATGTATGTAAAAATAATTCAAATATCTCGAAAATTAACCGAGATATCTCGATTTAAACTTAACTGTCTTGTATCGCATTATGTCTCTTGTCAATGTTTTTTCATTTATCTAAAAAACTACACAAAATATAAAAATATCGTTTAAGGCATTTTTATTGTACACAAAATTGTCTACAAATGTATGTAAAAATAATTCAAATATCTCGAAAATTAACCGAGATATCTCGATTTAAACTTAACTCTCTTGTATCGCATTATGTCTTTTGCCACTGTTTTTTCATTTATCTAAAAAACTACACAAAATATAAAAATATCGTTTAATGCATTTTAATTGTACACAAAATTGTCTACAAATGTATGTAAAAATAATTCAAATATCTCGAAAATTAACCGAGATATCTCGATTTAAACTTAACTGTCTTGTATCGCATTATGTCTCTTGTCAATGTTTTTTCATTTATCTAAAAAACTACACAAAATATAAAAATATCGTTTAAGGCATTTTTATTGTACACAAAATTGTCTACAAATGTATGTAAAAATATTTTAATTATCTCGAAAATTAACCGAGATGTCTCGATTTAAACTTAACTCTCTCTCATATCGCATTATGTTTGTTACAGCAATGATGGCCCAATCGATGGGACAGTCGATTCAACGTGAAGCCATGTCGAGCAACATGTTAATACAAAAATCCACAACGCAGCTCGATTACTCGAAGTACGTGAAAAAGTTCAGTTCGTCTTTGGAGTGCGGTAGCTCTTACTGTAAGGATTTGAACTACCGGGAACATTTCCACTGCCTTGACTGCAACTCAAGAGTTTTCATCAAGAAGGAGGAAATGATCAGGCATTTCAAGTGGCATAAGAAGAGAGACGAAAGTTTGCAGCACGGTTTTATGAGGTACAGTCCCCTGGACGACTGTTCGGACAGGTTTCACAACTGTACCCATAACAAAAAACAAACCCATTACCATTGTATCAAGGAGGGGTGCGATAAGGTGTACATTTCGACGTCTGACGTGCAAATGCACGCCAACTACCACAGAAAAGATTCCGCCATCATCCAAGAAGGCTTCCAGCGATTCAGGGCTACAGAAGAGTGCGGAGCGAGTTACTGCGCCTTCTTCGGGCAACGTACCACGCACTTCCACTGCAGAAGGCAAGGGTGCAGGTTCACGTTCAAAAATAAAAGCGACATGGAGAAGCACAAGTCGTACCACATCAAGGACGAGCAACTGTCGAGAGACGGCTTCAAGAAGTTCATGAAGAACGAAGTGTGCCCCTTCGAAAACTGCCGGTTCTCGAAAGTCTGCAACCACATCCACTGCATTAGACCGCAGTGCAACTACGTCTTGCACAGCTCGGGCCAACTATTCTCGCACAAGAGAAAACACGAACGCAAAGATTCCGAGTTGGCTTACAGAAAGTACAAGCTAGCTCAATCCATGATGAAAACCTTATCGGACGGCTCAGTACCTATGCCTCCGTTCATACGCGACTTCGAAAACCCACCGGAAGGTTTGAACCTATCCATGTTCAACCAATCGATGATGTCCAACGTCTCCAACACGGAAAGTAACTCGGAAAGAAACTCCCCAGTCAGTTTCGAAGAGTCAGATACGGCCATCGATTTAAGCGCCAACGAAAGCAACTCCTACGCCCCGGACGAGATGAACTGGAACAACGAAGATTTTTGGAAGAAGTACTGTCAGTTCGTACCGCAACAAGAGCAGTGCATGGACAAATGTGAATACCAGAATCAAGACCACTACCACTGTTTTGTAGAAAACTGCGAGATGGCCTTCAGGTAAGTTTTTCTCTCAAACCATAAAAGTTACATAATACATTTATTTACGTTTTTTATTCCCCGATAAATTACCTACAATTTCATACTGCATATAACCCCCTAACTCGAACCACTTCAAAGTTATAGCACTTTAAAGTCAATCGTGTTAAATTTCACTAATCTTGATTTTACTCCTAAACCATAAAAACTGCAAAATAGTTGTACATAATATTAATTATTTCCTATAAAATTCTCTACAATTCAACACAAAATATAACCACATACCCCCACCAACAACTTAGTTAAAACCCCCTAAATCAACCACAACCACAACCCAACCAACCAAAAATCTTAATTTTAAACAGCGAGATGGCCTTTAGGTGAGTTTTTCTCTTAAACCATGAAAGTTACAAAAAATTTTATTTACATGTTGTATTCTCCAATATATTATCTACAATTACATACTACATATAACCCCCTAACCCAAACCACTTTAAAGTTATAGCACTTTAAAGTCAATTGCTTCACATCGTGCTAAATTTTCTTATCCCATCATTAATGTTGATTTTACTCCTAAACCATAAAAACCACAAATAAATTGCATATAATATTAATTATTCCCTATAAAATTCTCTACAAATCAACACAAAATATAACCACATACCCCCACCAACAACTTAGTTACAACCCCCTAAATCAACCAAATCTTAATTTTAAACTGCGAGATGGCCTTTAGGTGAGTTTTTCTCTTAAACCATGAAAGTTACAAAAAAACTTTATTTACGTTTTGTATTCTCCAATATATTATCTACAATTTCATACTACATATAACCCCCTAAGCCAAACCAATTCAAAGTTATGGCACTTTAAAGTCAATTGATTTATATCGTGCTAAATTTTCTTAACCCATCACTAATGTTGATTTTACTCCTAAACCATAAAAACCACAAAAAAGTTGTACATAATATTAATTATTCCCTATAAAATTCTCTACAAATCAACACCAAATATAACCACATACCCCCACCAACAACTTAGTTACAACCTCCTAAATCAACCACAACCCAACCAACCAAAAATCTGAATTTTAAACTGCGAGATGGCCTTTATAGGTGAGTTTTTCTGTTAAACCATGAAAGTTACAAAAAAACTATTTATATTTTGTATTCTCCAATATATTATCTACTATTTCATACTACATATAACCCCCTAACCCAAACCACTTTAAAGTTATAGCACCTTAAAGTCAATTGATTCATATCGTGCTAAATTTTCTTAACCCATCACTAATGTTGATTTTACTTCTAAACCATAAAAACTACAAAAAATGGTATATAATATTAATTGTTCCCTATAAAATTCTCTACAAATCAACACCAAATATAACCCCGTAACCCCACCGACAACCCAGTTACAACCCCCTTAAGCAATCACAACCCAACTAAGCAAAAACATTAATTCCCTTCAGCTCAAAGGACGGCGTAAGAGAGCATGCCCGCAATCACGAGCAACAAGAACAAGTAACAGACACCTACTTTACCACGGTGACCGTGCAAAATGGCGGATGCGACGAGTCATGCATCTATCAGGACAAAGAGAAACACTATCACTGCAACTGGGAAAACTGCAGGGAAGTGATACTACCTTCGGACAAGCCTTTCAGGCGTCTAGAACACTACAAAATGCACGAGTACTCGAGGAAATTGAGTTTGACCAAGGATCCCTTGACTATGACGCACCTAGCGACATCTATCGACGGTATGTTCTGCAGAAAACGCGGCAGACCACCGAAAAACCGCGTCATCGAAGTTTGGAACGATTATGTAAGTTTTGGAACAAATACATAAATTATTTTTTATATTTTTTATTCACAACGAAATTATCTATAATATGATGTCAAAATAATTTCGGTATCCCAATTAATAACAAACATATACAGTGTTAAAGTCGTGACATTGTGAAATGTCAATATTTCAGTTTTCTGCACATAACTCAAAAACTATAAAGAATAGAAAAATACTGTTAATAACAATTTTATTCCACATGAAATTCTCTACAAATACATCCAAACACAATCATTTTATCTCAACTAATAAGTGAGATATCTCGACTTAAAGTCACCTCTCTCATTATTGCGAAACGCTCGATGGTGATAATTGTATTTATTTCAGTCCCCAGTTGGTAACCAAGGCCTCATGGATTCCCCGCAAGCGATTTTCACCAGTTTTAAACTACCCAAACCGTCGGCGACGCCATCTAGCAGCCGGGAGTTGGAACTAAACGACTCTAACGACGATAGGAGTAGCACTCACAGCCCTAACGTAAGTTTTCTTAAGATATCTCGAAATTCGGATAGTTTAAAGTTAAATTTTTGGAAACAATATTGATTGGGCTTTAAGTCCATACAAAATAATTAAAATTTGTATTGCAATTAAAAAAGTTATGCGCCTTTGAAAAATAATTCTTAGAATGAGAACAACAAGTTATATTTTTGATGATATCTCGGGAACGAGATAAGATTAAAATAAGATTGGGACATTTTTGGAAAGCCCAACGATTGGGCTACGATTCCATAAATTGACAATTATTTTTTTTGAAAAACAAAAGAACTACACACTTTCAAACTCAACGTAATTTTTTTTTCAGATGCAAGACTATAGCTTGCAAGGTTTTGATGTTTTTGTAGAAAATACAAAGTGTCCCGATAATTTGTGTCCGTATTTGGGTTCAGTGCATTTTCATTGCAATCAAAATAGATGCCTCTATGTAACGGACCAGGAAGATGTCCTGATAATGCACTCCAAAGACTTTCACGATAACATTGAAATTTTGGACGGGTTTGAGTTCTATGACAGAGACGTTGACTGCAGGTTGCTAAATTGTCCAAGCAATAAAACAAACAGGCATTTTCACTGCACTAAACCCAACTGCAGATACTCCTTTGTGCAGTATAGTACAATGGCTATCCACCAACAGAAGCATGCTGAAGAAATGCCACAACAAACTATGGGTGAAATCAGGGTTAAAACTGAAACCCAACTAAACGAAGAAAAAGTTGAGGAGCCTCAATTTAAAGCTATAAATTTGAGCCAAAATGACAACAAAATATCCGGTAAGTTTAACGAAGTTTTCAATAGTTATAGCACTGTATTTGCACTTAGTCAAAGTTTTCTTTATTTGGAAGTTTCTCTAAAACAATATTTGATAAATTGTCTATAAAACGATACCAAATATGTAAATAGTTAATGCTGTTCAATAAATGGGTCATTTTCAAAATTCTTGTACATTTAAAGAAGAAAAAGTAAAAACAATAACCTTATCTACAAACCTGTTTTTTTCTCAAATTTTGTTTATTTAGGGGTGTTATTTGACACCTTAAGTGGGCAGTTGGATTTTTTCAATATAAACGTTGTTTCGTTGAACTACCAAACAATTTTTTCCAGCTTCTTTGAGGCAAAATACATTGACTAGGAAAATTATTATTAAAAATTTGGAGGCCATTATTTTAAATTGGCTACATACTGTCAAAAACAGAAACGGTGGAAGGTTGAAAAAAAATGTTTTTAAAACTTTCCTATAAGTTTATTATTATTTCAAAAATATATTATGATTTATTTCTTTGGAATTGTCCCCTGGGTCACATAATTTTCCCCTGGGTCAGACAATATGTGGTCCAGGCGACGTGTAATGTATGTTTTTAGAACATAACCTCTTTACTGTTTACTAGGATACTTACTTTTGAGAATCAAACAAAGTCCAACTGGTACCTTTACTACTTTTTATTACCGTGTTATCATAATTCAAAGTACCCTAACCCAGTTTGAAAAAAAAAATTCCAAGTAAAGAAAATTAGTTGTTTTGGAGTATTTTGTGTAAATAGTAAACATGTGTGATTTGTTTTTTTAGTGGTGAAGGCTTCTGGCACATTTTATCCACTTTCATCTTTAAATCCAGAAAATTCTTCCCAAGAAATTAAATCTTTAAATTCAGGTATATTTCTGTTCAAATGACAAAATATACTAATACATTTAACATTTATGGGTGAATATATTGAGATGTCCCACAAGTGAATTTTTTTTTTTTTGGTTGTTTCACTGTTAGTCTAGAATGGGGTTTTGGGAAGCCACCGATCTAATGATAACATAACATAAGTGGTTCTGCACTAATGCAAGAATTTTAAGAAATCATACATTTTGAATATTAGAGCTTCACGGAGGTTAGGATTTCGTATGTTTTTTTTATAAACATCCCTTTGTATATTTGAAATAAGTTATTGTATCTTTTGACACCTTAATATTTTTTAAAACATACATAAAATATTTATAAAAAATATGGTTTCACGGGGTAACACATCGGGGGACATTTCATGAGATTCACCCATATATATTTGTGCTGTCAATATTTGTTTTCTAATGCTTTACTAAAACTACCCGTGCACTGTAATAATCCTTGTTTGTGGCTTCTCGTTTAATTTTTGTTTTGACGCGATTTGACGTTGTTGTGTTTTATTTTAGAACCCAGCGCTTTAGTGTCCACGGAAATGAGCACAAATTCGTCTAGCACTTTATACGGGCCCGAACTGAGCTGTTCGAGACCTTTCTGCAAACTTAAGAGGAAGTATCACTACCATTGCAATCTATGCAATCAGGCGTTCTCGGAGATAGATAGACTTGTGGTGCATGTAGCCAAACATAGCACTGGATCTCTAAGTGCTCAGGTTCAAGAAGATAACAATAATGATAACAATAAGGTTGGGGTGAAAAATGAAGGCAAAATACAGGTGGCACCACTGCAGAGTTTGCAGAACCCACCCACAACCATCCAAGCCCCAAAAGAGGAAACCTACGTTACCCCGACATTTGACGCGTATAGTCACTTTAGTAACTTTCCGACGAACTTGCAATTCGCGTTGATGTCCCAGCAAAATATGCAGAACATGCAGTACGGGTTGTACAACAACGCGGCGTTGCCGAGTCAGCTGATGTTTCAACACCAACTGCTGCAGAGCCCGTTGATGCCGCAGGGGAATTACCCGGGGGAGAACCTCACCAACCCGTTGGCGCAAATGGCGGCCAACCTCAACAAACGCAGCATGTCGCCGCACGAGATGACGCCCGAGGCAAAAAAGGCGCGCATACAGAACTCCATGCGGATCTTGAAGGACGAACCCGTGCCTGAGGGGTACCTCAGGTTCAGGTTCAACGAGGACTGTCACTACCAGCACTGCGGGTACAGGGAGCACCAAACTCACTTCCACTGTCAAAGGCAAGACTGCGGGTACAGTTTTTGCGACAAGACGCGCTTCGTGCAGCACACTGCGAGGCACGAACGTTTGGACACCCTGATGGGCGGGGATTTTCAACAGTACCGCGCCAACGTCGCCTGTGGCAGACCTGACTGCGCGTACACCGCCAACTTAGGTAAGTTGCGTTTTTTTTTTCGTTTTGTCGACATAACCTAACATTTTTTTCTGCTAATTTGCAATTTACACATCAAGGGGCTGAAAGTGTAGCAAATGTTCATCGAAAACAAGATTTCCATCAACGTCTCTTTGATTTTCTACCTCATGAATTTACGAGGCTCAATTCTTCTGTCCAACATTTCCGCATACATTTCACCATTTAAATGTCAATCTATGAACAAAGTACCGCCTAATATGCCCGCCCAAACATTTCTTTTTTGAGGATATTGTGTACACTGTTTTCATGACCATTTTAACACCAAATTAACACCATACATGGTCTATATCTATACAAACCAAAATGGTGTTAAATATGGTTCGTTGGTCCGGTGTAAATTCAAATACTAAAATAGTGCTAATTTAACTTTCATACAGTATTAAAATAAATTTTACCTGGTGTAAATTGAACTCCTTTTCAGTGTTAAATATTATGTGTTTGTGGTCAAATTAAATCATACTACACAGAAAAAAGGAAAAAAAAGTTCCTTGACGCATTACTAGTATATTACCAGTGGTATTATTCCAGAAAATGGAACCTTCAACTCGCTAGAGATAATGTTTTTAGTGCGTTCCACCAACTTAAAATACTTCAAATATTGACAGCTGTTTCCACCTATTTAAGGTCTCTTTAGTATCGAACAACTTGTAGTGTCACACCAAAGCAAAGGACTACCTGAGCTTATATACTCTTCATGTAAGTCAACAGAGGCGAGATTTAAGAACATCACGTGATCCACACCGCCTTTGCCGCGATCGGGACACACTATGCAACCGGAAATGCACGGCAAATTATTTTAATCGTTTTAACAGAGTGCTTTAGGTTGAAGTAACTCTTATTTTACAAACAACATATTTAGTAAAGTGAACCATACAGCGGGTTGGTTTCACTAAAGTTTTCTGGGTTAATTTAACCAATTTAAAAAAAATAAAATAACTATCTGGTTTAGTACCGTCAGACTAATCTTTGTTTATATTAACCTTCCCACAGTTGATAAAAATAAAAAAAATACAAAAATAAATACTTATGGGTCAACTAAATTAATATAGTTAAATGAACAGTTACTATTCCTTTTTTCTGTGTAGGTGCACTTCTCAAATATTTTTAGATAAACACCGTTTTGGTGTTTGCTGTATATAACATTTTCAACCATAATTCATGGTCTTATATTAACACCACAGATATTTTAAACAGTGTATGCCCCTCTCTAATAATCCGAGGATTGAAGTTGCTTCAATAACGGCAGTTTTGTTTGTTCACCTTGCCATTTAAGTAGAAGGTGCACTCATCACTCAAACAGATATTTTTTATAAACTGGGGCTGAGCAATAATCCTGTTAGTCATAATTTCGCAAATACGTCTGTCCGGGTCATCATCCCCTAATTCTTGAGTAATTTGTAGCTTGTATGGGTGAAATTTGTGAAGCTTCAATTCTTTTCTGACTGATTCACGCGACAGTCCAGTTTGTTCTGCAGCTTGACGAAGCGACATAGTGGGAGCCATAGCAATTTGGCCAAGAACTTCAATCTAAGCGATCTCATTGACCAATCTTGGCTCATTCCCCTTCTTATTGCAAATTCTTCAAATGTATCTACTAAATCTCGAAAGTACTTGTGTCTAACAGTTTCTTGTTACAATCTTGGCAGTTTATTTCGTAGATCCCAGACTTTTCAATTTTGGGAATCTTATCTTTGGGGTTGCCCAAAAGCAATTTAGAAGTCCAGTTTGCGAAAAATCCCTTCCAGCACCCTGTGTTTTGTTTTGACGTTGGGGAATATTTGTTAATTTTTTTTTCTCATTGCAGGCAACACTCAGAACAAAGCTTCGCACTTCCACTGCCTGAAGTGCGACTTCGTGTGCACCGACACGAACAAAGTCGTGGCGCATCGCAGGCAGCACCAAAAGCTGGACTCGATCCAGGCGGCCGGTTTCGAGAAGTTCACGCCCAGTCAGCAGTGCCGAGTGCAGAACTGCCAGCACAGCGGCAAGCAGACGCACTACCACTGCCTGCAGTGCCAGTACGCGGTGCTGGGACTGGCTCAGATGAGCGCGCACAAGTATCGGCACATGGAGGGCTGAATTCGAACGAGAATGTAAATACAATGTAAATAATACGTGTAAATCTGTAAATAATCGTAATTTAAGAAGATATTACCTCAAAAATATCAAATATATCGGAGGATAAATAATTTATGCGACTGAAACTGAAAGTTGTTGAATTACAGTTTAGAAGAAAATTTACGTTTATGTGATAGTAATCGTGTAAAAAATAATAATCATTGACATATTTAGTATTACTAGGGAACAAATATTAGTGAACAATAAAAGACATAGATTTAAAGGCCTTTTTTTATAGAATTAGTGCCTTAGAGACATTAAGTGCCTTTTGGTACACTTTTTACACTAGCAAGTCGATTTGCACAAAAAAGGAATAAACCACACGAAATTACAAAAAAAAAGCCAGGGGAATTATTTCCACCAGGGGAATTACACTCGCCACGGGAATGATTTATAATTCCCCTGGCGACTTTAAAAAATGTTTGGGTTGTTTATTCCCACACGCAGGTTGTTTTGACACGCCCTGTGCAAATTGACAGTTCTTTTCATTCCAAAAGTGCCATATAATATACAGAGTAGTTTTTTGCAGAAAATATATACATAGCGTAGTTCTAGCGGAATAGTTTTAGCGTCATTTTTTCCCCTCTACTTTATTTATATTACTCCTTACGTCATGCTCAACTGTACTATTATTTATTTGACATTTTTCAGTGAATTTATATGCCATATAATTTTATTTTAAAAAACGACAGTCAAAACTGTCTTTTTTCTTTTATTATTTAGCTAGTCTTCTCATCGTACGAAAAATCGCTTTATATCTTTATTGTTTTTTTTTCCTTTTTTAAAAATATATCGAAAAAATGTATACGTTATTATCATCATAAAAATGATTTAAAAATGTATTTTTTAGTTTTAGTGTCATTTTAGTTTATAGTTTTTTAAAGTATGTCTGTTTTTGTGATTGTGAAGATTTTTTTCTAAGAAAATATCAGTATTTATAACGAATTTGTATTTTATTTAAAATCCCCCCCAATTGCAGTGTATGGTAAGCTTTTGTACAATAAAAATAGTGTGTGGAATCCTTTAGGTATGTATGTAGTTATGATAAAATTCAGTACTTTTATCGGCAAGTATTGGCACATGGGCGCCAAATTTGAACGAGAATGTAAATATAATGTAAATAATACGTGTAAATCTGTAAATAATCGTAATTTAAGAAGATATTACCTCAAAAATATCAAATATATCGGAGGATAAATAATTTATACGACTAAAACTAAAAGTTGTTAAATTACAGTTTAGAAGAAAATTTACGTTTATGTGATAGTAATCGTGTAAAAAATAATAATCATTGACATATTCAGTATTACTAGGGAACAAATATTAGTGAACAATAAAAGACATAGATTTAAAGGCCTTTTTTTATAGAATTAGTGCCTTAGAGACATTAAGTGCCTTTTGGTACACTTTTTACACTAGCAAGTCGATTTGCACAAAAAAGGAACAAACCACACAAAATTACAAAAAAAGCCAGGGGAATTACACTCGCCACGGGAATGATTTATAATTCCCGTGGCGGCTTTAAATAAACTGTTTGGGTGGTTTATTCCCACACGCAGGTTGTTTTGACACGCCCTGTGCAAATCGACAGTTCTTTTCATTCCAAAAGTGCCATATAATATACAGAGTAGTTTTTTGCAGAAAATATATACATAGCGTAGTTCTAGCGGAATAGTTTTAGCGTCATTTTTTCCCCTCTACTTTATTTATATTACTCCTTACGTCATGCTCAACTGTACTATTATTTATTTGACATTTTTCAGTGAATTTATATGCCATATAATTTTATTTAAAAAAACGACAGTCAAAACTGTTTTTTTTCTTTTATTATTTAGCTAGTCTTCTCATCGTACGAAAAATCGCTTTATATCTTTATTGTTTTTTTTTTCCTTTTTTAAAAATATATCGAAAAAATGTATACGTTATTATCATCATAAAAATGATTTAAAAATGTATTTTTTAGTTTTAGTGTCATTTTAGTTTATAGTTTTTTAAAGTATGTCTGTTTTTGTGATTGTGAAGATTTTTTTCTAAGAAAATATCAGTATTTATAACGAATTTGTATTTTATTTAAAATCCCCCCAAATTGCAGTGTATGGTAAGCTTTTGTACAATGAAAATAGTGTGTGGCATCCTTTAGGTATGTATGTAGTTATGATAAAATTCAGTACTTTTATCGGCAAGTATCGGCACATTGAGGGCTAAGCAGAGCTAAGTGGGCGCCAAATTTAAACGAGAATGTAAATATAATGTAAATAATACGTGTAAATCTGTAAATAATCGTAATTTAAGAAGATATTACCTCAAAAATATCAAATATATCGGAGGATAAATAATTTATGCGACTGAAACTGAAAGTTGTTGAATTACAGTTTAGAATAAAATTTACGTTTATGTGATAGTAATCGTGTAAAAAATAATAATCATTGACATATTTAGTATTACTAGGGAACAAATATTAGTGAACAATAAAAGACATAGATTTAAAGGCCTTTTTTATAGAATTAGTGCCTTAGAGACATTAAGTGCCTTTTGGTACACTTTTTACACTAGCAAGTCGATTTGCACAAAAAAGGAACAAACCACACAAAATTACAAAAAAAAAGCCAGGGGAATTACACTCGCCACGGGAATGATTTATAATTCCCCTGACGACTTTAAAAAACTGTTTGGGTGGTTTATTCCCACTCGCAGGTTGTTTTGACACGCCCTGTGCAAATTGACAGTTCTTTTCATTCCAAAAGTGCCATATAATATACAGAGTAGTTTTTTGCAGAAAATATATACATAGCGTAGTTCTAGCGGAATAGTTTTAGCGTCATTTTTTCCCCTCTACTTTATTTATATTACTCCTTACGTCATGCTCAACTGTACTATTATTTATTTGACATTTTTCAGTGAATTTATATGCCATATAATTTTATTTAAAAAAACGACAGTCAAAACTGTCTTTTTTCTTTTATTATTTAGCTAGTCTTCTCATCGTACGAAAAATCGCTTTATATCTTTATTGTTTTTTTTCCTTTTTTAAAAATATATCGAAAAAATGTATACGTTATTATCATCATAAAAATGATTTAAAAATGTATTTTTTAGTTTTAGTCTCATTTTAGTTTATAGTTTTTTAAAGTATGTCTGTTTTTGTGATTGTGAAGATTTTTTTCTAAGAAAATATCAGTATTTATAACGAATTTGTATTTTATTTAAAATCCCCCCCCAATTGCAGGGTATGGTAAGCTTTTGTACAATAAAAATGGTGAGTGGAATTCTTTAGGTATGTATGTAGTTATGATAAAATTCAGTACTTTTATCGGCAACTATTGGCACATGGGCGTCAAATTTGAACGAGAATGTAAATATAATGTAAATAATACGTGTAAATCTGTAAATAACCGTAATTTAAGAAGATATTACCTCAAAAATATCAAATATATCGGAGGATAAATAATTTATGCGACTGAAACTGAAAGTTGTTAAATTACAGTTTAGAAGAAAATTTAAGTTTATGTGATAGTAATCGTGTAAAAAATAATAATCATTGACATATTTAGTATTACTAGGGAACAATTATTAGTGAACAATAAAAGACATAGATTTAAAGGCCTTTTTTTATAAAATTAGTGCCTTAGAGACATTAAGTGCCTTTTGGTACACTTTTTACACTAGCAAGTCGATTTGCACAAAAAAGGAACAAACCACTCAAAATTACAAAAGTAACCAGGGGAATTATTTTTACCATGGGAATTACACTCGCCACTGGAATGATTTACAATTCCCCTGGCGACTTTAAAAAACTGTTTGGGTGGTTTATTCCCACCCGCAGGTTGTTTTGACACGCCCTGTGCAAATTGACAGTTCTTTTCATTCCAAAAGTGCCATATAATTATATTATAATATACAGAGTAGTTTTCGGCAGAAAATATATACATAGCGTAGTTCTAGCGGAATAGTTTAAGCGTCATTTTTTCCCCTCTACTTTATTTATATTACTCCTTACGTCATGCTCAACTGTACTATTATTTATTTGACATTTTTCAGTGAATTTATATGCCATATAATTTTATTTAAAAAAACGACAGTCAAAACTGTCTTTTTTCTTTTATTATTTAGCTAGTCTTCTCATCGTACGAAAAATCGCTTTATATCTTTATTGTTTTTTTTCCTTTTTTAAAAATATATCGAAAAAATGTATACGTTATTATCATCATAAAAATGATTTAAAAATGTATTTTTTAGTTTTAGTCTCATTTTAGTTTATAGTTTTTTAAAGTATGTCTGTTTTTGTGATTGTGAAGATTTTTTTCTAAGAAAATATCAGTATTTATAACGAATTTGTATTTTATTTAAAATCCCCCCCCAATTGCAGGGTATGGTAAGCTTTTGTACAATAAAAATGGTGAGTGGAATTCTTTAGGTATGTATGTAGTTATGATAAAATTCAGTACTTTTATCGGCAACTATTGGCACATGGGCGTCAAATTTGAACGAGAATGTAAATATAATGTAAATAATACGTGTAAATCTGTAAATAACCGTAATTTAAGAAGATATTACCTCAAAAATATCAAATATATCGGAGGATAAATAATTTATGCGACTGAAACTGAAAGTTGTTAAATTACAGTTTAGAAGAAAATTTAAGTTTATGTGATAGTAATCGTGTAAAAAATAATAATCATTGACATATTTAGTATTACTAGGGAACAATTATTAGTGAACAATAAAAGACATAGATTTAAAGGCCTTTTTTTATAAAATTAGTGCCTTAGAGACATTAAGTGCCTTTTGGTACACTTTTTACACTAGCAAGTCGATTTGCACAAAAAAGGAACAAACCACTCAAAATTATAAAAGTAACCAGGGGAATTATTTTTACCATGGGAATTACACTCGCCACTGGAATGATTTACAATTCCCCTGGCGACTTTAAAAAACTGTTTGGGTGGTTTATTCCCACCCGCAGGTTGTTTTGACACGCCCTGTGCAAATTGACAGTTCTTTTCATTCCAAAAGTGCCATATAATTATATTATAATATACAGAGTAGTTTTTGGCAGAAAATATATACATAGCGTAGTTCTAGCGGAATAGTTTAAGCGTCATTTTTTCCCCTCTACTTTATTTATATTACTCCTTACGTCATGCTCAACTGTACTATTATTTATTTGACATTTTTCAGTGAATTTATATGCCATATAATTTTATTTAAAAAAACGACAGTCAAAACTGTCTTTTTTCTTTTATTATTTAGCTAGTCTTCTCATCGTACGAAAAATCGCTTTATATCTTTATTGTTTTTTTTTTTCCTTTTTTAAAAATATATCGAAAAAATGTATACGTTATTATCATCATAAAAATGATTTAAAAATGTATTTTTTAGTTTTAGTGTCATTTTAGTTTATAGTTTTTTAAAGTATGTCTGTTTTTGTGATTGTGAAGATTTTTTTCTAAGAAAATATCAGTATTTATAACGAATTTGTATTTTATTTAAATCCCCCCCATGGCAGTGTATGGTAAGCTTTTGTAGAATAAAAATGGTGTGTGGAATTCTTTAGGTATGTATGTAGTTTTGATAAAATTCAGTACTTTTAGCTTAAATACGTTAAAAAGTGTAACTTTAACGAGCATCTAAACAAAATAATGTTAATATTCTGTTAAGTTTAATCTTCAAATCATAACCATAAGTTGTTTTTATAATTAAACGATTTCACCGGAAAAAAACTGTAAAAAAGTGTTCAGTACTCACATAAATTTCAGAAAAACTTGCAGGAAACATTCTTAAAGAATTTTTTGAACAGCTTTCACTATTTTTTCACTTATAAAAAAGGCAGACTCAAATTGCAAATGACAGTTAAACTGATGCGCATAGCGTGACTTTCAGTTGTTTTGATTTATTCGCTTTGACAGCAAACTGTCAAACTTGTAATCGGTGGTTCGCGGTAAAAAAAAGTGGGTAAATTTTTGATTTTTTACAGTTTTATTTAGTTAATATCATTGTTCATAAGTTTGTTATGTTTGGGTATTAAAAAATTTCGTTAGAAGTGTTTTAAGGTTCATTTTAAATGTTTGATAAATAAATAACAGTGGCCTCGACCGCAAATTCAATGTAGAAAAAATATTGATTTTTACCATTTGCATACTACCTATTCTAAATATGGTTAAACTAAGAGTTACTGTATAAAATAAAAAAATAAAAAAAGACTTTATTTCATATAAAAAGTACATACAATTATTATAATAAATTACTTAAAATATCACATAATTTTAACATCCAAGCAAAGCCAGTTAGGTTTAGGTATTTTCGCATATGGGTCATTCTTCTTTTTAAGACAGAATAACCCATATGAACTCAAATCAAAATTGTTCAAAACTTCAAAGTGTTCTTTCAGGGCCTCATAGAAGTATTCTTTTGTTTTGTCCTAAAAAAAATAAGTTAAAAGCAGTTTTGTACCCTGTGTGGTTTTTATTATTTACCAAGCTCGAATAATCTTTTTCTTCATAGCGATTGAACTCAAATTCGCCAATTTCTTCAAACGCCTTCAGCCAAATTTCAAATTGTTTATCGGAAAAGTTAAGGAGAATTTTTAGAAAATCTGTCGATCTTGATATTATTTTGCTTTGGCCTTCAATATCTGAAGCAAGAAAACTAAAAAATACTTTAAATTTTCTGTCAGAATTTTTACAATTTCTACAATTCCCAGCCATTTTAAGTATATGGTTACAGTTTTTACAGATGTAAGTAATATTTACTATATTTAACAATATGTTGGTAACTCTTCCCCAAACTAAAACATTATTGGGGATGTCTGCTCCAGCCCCCAAAAAATAGGGCTCTCCCCAAGGCATATATTCTCCATGATAACGCCTAAAAAATAATTAATTTTAAATACAATTTTATTTGACATTTCATCTATGTAAACGGTTTTAACCTCACTTTCTCTAAATCTGTCAAATGGTTTCAACCTCTCTTTTTTCAATTTATTATGTGGGGTTATAAACGCCATTTTAGAGTTAATTAGGCACGAGCGAATCTTGCGAGCGAGTGTTTAATAAGAATACTTTATCTACGACTAACACAAAGAAGCCAATTTTATTTGTTTAATTAAATAACACATTTTTAAAATTGAAATTTACGAAATTTGAAGCTTGACCTGTCTGCTTTATTGTGTTTAAATTTTAACACAATCAAATGAAAATTGGTTTGAAATAATAGTATATTATGTATCAAGTTTCCATTTTATACACGAATTTAATTTAGTGTATAGAAAAGTTTATAAACGAGGTGCATACTATAAACTTTTTCTACGACAAATACTTATTATTACCTTAAAATGATTTAAATCAAAAATTTGTATAGAGCGCCATCTATGAAACAATAGGGAAATCTGTGTGTCACCGTCAAATGTAAAATTTTTATATTTTATAAACACAGATTATAAAGGTTATAAATCGAAATGTATTTCTTGAAAATATACAGTTTTTCACAGTGAAAGTAAAGAAAATGTTTTATGAGCACTTTACGAAATTAAAAGGTCAGTACAATGTTCATATAAACTTTTCAAATATTGGCGTTGAGAAACTATTTAATATTTTTGTATTGAGATAATAAAATAATTTTCACATTTAGTATTATTTTACAAGAAAGGCACTTTATTTTAACGATTGTATGACATTTGACAACTGTCAACTAACTTAAAACCAACTTCAGCCCGTGACTAAAAACCTGTTGCTAACTTCAGCCCGTGACTAAAGCGCTATAAAGCCACAACTTGTCAATGTGTATTTAAAAGGTCACTTAGTGTCATGGAAACATGTACTATGCTCCACACCTTAAAGTCCCACCACGTGACCAAGTACGCAACGCAGTCTTTTCAAAATTTGGCATTTAAGGCTTTTCCGGTTATGTATCTGTCAAAGTATAGTCAATAAAAGAAATCATATTTATAGTGTTACCGCTTATGTTTAAGCGTTAAAAGTTAATAAATCTTTATAGTATCACAATAACAATGGTTGGTTTAAGAATTTAGGAATATAAATACTGCATTTAATGAAATTCCAAAGTGTAAGGTGCAATATAAGTGATATTTTTGTGCATTGGGTCTACATTTCTCCATAAAATAGTTTTAACTAAACAGCATTTATTTAAAAAAATCTAACTTCTCTATTATGAAATAAGAATATCTGTATCAAAGGTAGGTTAATGTATTAGAACAAAAAATTTCATCTAATTTTGTATTTTAAGGTTAGAGAAATCTATTTTGACCAAAATAAATAAGTGGATTATTTGGAAGAGTGTGTTAATATGATCATAAATAAATATAGGCAGGGCCATATTACCCATTAGGCAGGCAAGGCAATTGCCTTAGGCGCCACGAAGAAATAGGCGCATTGTCCCCAACCAACTAAAAAATAAAAATTCTCAAAAATAAAAAAAAAAACATTATACAATTATGAAAATAATATATTCTTTACTGTTTTTATTATTTTATAAAAATATGGCGTGCTTTGTAATAACGCGGTGTAAAGCCGACAAAACACAATAGACCAGGGTCGATAATTTTTGAAACCAAAAAAAATAACAGTAGGATAAAACCCATTGGAAAAGGAGAAGAATATAATAAAAATGAAAGGAAAAATAAATTACGGGCGATCTGACTTCGGGAAGTGGGAGGGGGGGGGGGTATTTAAGGGTAAAAAATGATTTATCTCGATTTCCGGCAAAACTACAAGTCCTATGAAAAAAAGTTAAATGGCAAAGTTGTAGGTAATAAAAGGATCTACAACTTTTGTAATCACAATTTTTTTACATAACCTCAAAATTTATGTGAAAAATTCAAAAAAACCCAGTTTTTGGTTTTTTATTTTTCTTTTCCAAAAAAATTTTTTTTTTCACGAAATTTGGTGAAAACTTACCTTTTTATGTCCCAAATACACTGTAATTTATTTGATTTGAAATATTTATTATTTTGCCTTATTTTGACTTAATATCAAAAAAGCACCCTAATTTTCAATCGAAAATTCTCGCGTCAAAATATCAGCTTTTTTCAAAAAGTCGGTGTGCTTTTTGTTCGTTAAAATCTCTACTTTCTGATGGTGTAAAAAAATATACATTACTATGGTAAATGTTCTCAGAAAATGCAAAAAATATTATAATGAATAACGAAAAAAAACTCGAATTCGAAAATTTATTTTAATCATTATATACAATTTCATCAAAAAAATGGGATTGTTGCATTTTTTTTTTGTTAAAAAGTTTACTTATTAAATTCTAATAACATTTATGCCAGAAAATCTCATAAAATATAAAAATACATGTAAATCATACTATTGAATTTAGATACTTCATTCTGATTACGTTATTCATTATAATATTTTTTGTATTTTCTGAGAACATTTACCATAGTAATGTATATTTTTTTTTACACCATCAGAAAGTAGAGAGTTCATCGAACAAAAAGCACACCGACTTTTTGAAAAAAGCTGATATTTTGACGCGAGAATTTTCGATTGAAAATTAGGGTGCTTTTTTGATATTAAGTCAAAATAAGGCGAAATAATAAATATTTCAAATCAAATAAATTACAGTGTATTTGGGACATAAAAAGGTAAGTTTTCACCAAATTTCGTGGAAAAAATTTTTTTTTGAAAAAGATAAAAATAAAAAACCAAAAACTTGGTTTTTTGAATTTTTCACATAAATTTTGAGGTTATGTGAAAAAATTGTAAATACAAAAGTTGTAGATCTTTTTATTACCTACAACTTTGACATTTAACTTTTTTCCATAGGACTTGTAGTTTTGCCGGAAATCGAGATAAACCATTTTTTACCCTTAAAACCCCCCCCTCCCACTTCCCGAACTCAGATCGCCCGTAATTTATTTTTCCTTTAATTTTTATTATATTCCCCTCCTTTTCCAATGGGTTTCATCCTACTGTAATTTTTTTTCTCTTTTTACCATTTTTAAAGGCTTCTGCACTGGTCTACAAAAGCTTGCCGCAAATTCACTTTTTCAAGGTGTTTTTTAATATTTGGTAGTTTTTGGTTTAGTTTACCCTTTTTTAACTACTTTTTAACTATTAAGGGCCGGTTTATCAATATCTGGTTTAGTTCCAGCGAGTTCCAGTTAGTCTTTCTGACAGTTAAATTCCATATCGATCGTTGTGAGAACAATGGTGCCAGATAACTAACTGCAACTTTAACTGGACATTTACACTTTTTATTAACATTATATTTATTATGTTTGTATGTTATTTATATTTTTAATAAACCTAGTTTTTGATAAAAAGTATTTTAATTCATACGGGATAATTTGGTTAGTAAGCTCGGGCGCCCTTAAGATAACAGATTGAGGTGTCTCTGATAAGCTTTTCTAAAATTTGCCCTGGGCCTGTGCCTAGGGCGCAGAATTGCCTTAAGCCGGCCCTGAATATAGGTATACTAAATAATTGTTGAATATGTTTCAAATTAAAATGAAGCTTTTATACTTCTAATGACAAAACTTGTGCATACCTCTCGGCATACCTACTTTAAGTTAGATTATAAGAAAACAAACAATTTTTAGAGAAACTTGCAATGTGAAAATATTTAATACTCCCATGACATGTGATTTATTACAATTTTTAAAGGTGGGAGTAGAAAAAAATATTTTTATACTTACAAATTGACGGTTGTGTATGGTACAGGTGGTTCGTAAGAAATAACGTCAATTTTAGTAAATGTTGAGGTTTTCAAATACGTTTTTTTCGGCAAAACATTTCGTACGGCTAGTCTCATGTAGGGTACCAAGCAAAGGGGTGTAAGGAGCCTTTCCCAATCACGAAAGTATAACTTTAGTTCGTTGGTGTTTTTAAAGTTGGTATCGTCGAGAAAAAACTTCAGGTTGTGTACCTGATTACCTTAAAATAAAATAACTGTTATATACAGGGTTAGTCATTTAACTTGAAACTTTGAAATATCTCAGTTAGTATGCATTTTACGAAAAAATGTTTAAAATAAAAATTCGATTTTTTTCTGTATTGGATTCTGCAATAAATTGTCTATAAAAATATCACTTTTTTAAAAATACCACATTTAATGAAAAAAAAACATTACTTTGTCAATTAATTAATTTAATCCTAATTGGGGTATAAAAAATGGTATTTAATTATAAATAATAATTATTATTGATGTATAAAGAAACTATTTATACATAGTTTAGCATTATTTAATCAATTTAGTTCGAAGATTAATTTGCAAACAAAAAGACCTACTTGCGTTAAGCAGTTATTCATAATGGATTTTTTAACAGTGGAAGAAAAAATATAAATGATTATGATTTATGGAGAAGCAGGCAGGAATCTTGATGATGCTGTTAATATCTACGCTCAGCGTTTTCCGGAAAAAATTCGATCACGTACTTCATTTCACCGCACAGTCAAGCAGTTTACTACAAACGGGAGTGTTCAAGCAAGCACACGAGAATAATCTAGAGATTTGGGAATATCCCAGAGCAGTGTTGGCAGAATATTAAAACGAAATAAATAAATAAATTTAAAAAATAAAACCAAGTATTTTATTCAAAAATTATTGGAGAATCGTATACAGAAGAAAAATCGAACAAAATTGATTTTTTTTCATTACAGCGCTATCTATTACAAATATGAAAAAATGTTTTAGACAAAATCTACCTATTTTTAGTCGAATGATCCGAATCTGCAATAAAAAATAGGGTGTTCCATTGGAAATTTTAAAGTTACCCCCTGTTCCCCCTATGAGGAGGAGAGTATGAGGACCAATTTTAGTACTGATTGATTTCCCCCTCGAATCTTTTAATTTTTATTTTAAACATTTTTGAACACAGTGTACATACCAGGCGTTCCAAATCCAGGATTTTTTGACGTTTTTATTGCATTCCTTGAATCCTCAAAAAATTTAGTTCTTACAATGCCTTCGAAAGAAATTAATTCCGTAAATGTTTCCAATGAATTTTTGCATTCGAAAGCGTTCATTAGTCGATTTTTTTCGACATTTTCAGATGCATTTTTCACAAAAATCGTATTTGGATCAGTTAATTCATACTGTTTTATACTATTATCAATCGTTGTGATATCATTAAAATTTACAGATTTTCTAAAAAAATGTTGTTATAAAGATTTTAGTTTTTTTCTTATAAATAAATATATAAAAAGGATAGTTTGTTTGTTTAAACTTTATTTACGTTTACTTAAAAATAAAAATATTTGAATTTTTAATAATAGTTTATAAAAACATGTAAAAAAGTATAGTAATTGGACATTTTATATAGTAATTGGACACATGGACCATAGTTATTGGACATAAATTTTTTATATAAACACTAAATAACATTAAATAACAAAAATTGTTTTTACAGTATTAATGTCCAATAACTATAAAATGTCTGTTAACTGTCTACCCTATCTACCTACAAAGTATCTATTTTGTTGTTTGATACTTACAGAGTTTCATTAAAATGTATTGTGTAAGATTCATTTTCACTTAAAAATTGAAATAAATGTAAAAAATTTGGTGGTATACATAAAAATATACATTCTTTGAAGTTGTTGTTTTCTCCACTTTTAAATAAAATTTGAAGCCAAAAAATTGTTCTGTTGCTTCTTGAATCATATTGAACCTAAAATACTTAATGCAACATAAAAAATACATAATTTAATTATTTATGCGTTATTTAAAAACTATAAAAATCTGTATACAAGAAAATACTATTTCCAGTCTTAGACACTTACTGTGCTGATTTTGATAACTTTAAAAGTTCTGGAAAATCTATATAAACCAATTTCAGGGGTTTCTTTAAATATTTCATTCTTTTCATTATCCTCCACATTTATAATTGTTATATCATTAAAATCCACCAAAATGTAATCAAAATTTTGCGAATTATTCGGATAATACTCCGTAAAAACGACATATTCCTTTATTAGAACAAACCTGTTCATAATATCCTCCAAATTTCCTTTATCCTTATTGGTGATGGTTAAAAACATCCTATATTGCGCGTCTTTTATTTGAAATAAACCGTATTTCTTGTTTAAACTCACATAACCCAATAAATAATCACTAGATTTGTGTTTACGATGTACTCCATTTTTCCAGCTTAAAAACTCATATTTATCACTTTTTAAATCGATATATTTGCAGTTATTTATTGTTATTAAATCGAATTGATGGACAATTTGGTTTAGGCAAGGTTTTTCATGCGTACAAATATTTTCTGCTGCTGAAACAATACTCTCGATTATATGTAACATAACCTCACTCTGATATTGTTCTAACAACGCTGGGAAGTTCTCTTTTATCACTGTTATATTTCGGCTTATTTCCAACAAATCCGTAACTCCTAATTTATGTTCATTTATTAGTTTTAATACTTTATTATCTTTGCTATAAGAAACATTAAAGTTGCCTTCAATTTTGGAGCAATGGCATAACATTGCATATTTTATATTCTTCCGATTCGGAAAATAGTGAAATTTTTTTAATATTACCTCTGAATTTACCTCTGGTAATTTTGTATTGGGTTTTTGGGACAGTAGTAAACCCATGTAAACATTTATTTTACCATTTAGTGTACAACTTAATAACATGTCATCTATAGAAGTTACCACACCCTAAAATATAAAAAAAAAATATTATTTATTACATAAAATGCAACTTCTTACCCTTAATTCCATCTTTATGCATTTGAATAAAATGATTTGATTGTTTGAATTTTTGAGGTTATTTTTAAATTTGACATTTGTACGCCGTGTTGCCAATATGCTTAATTTTGTGTTTAAAATAAACAATTTTAACTATTTTTATGGTACATTTGTATATATATATATACAATAAAAACAATATTTTTATTTATTTATTTATGCAACGTATTAAAATTTTTCTTATTGAAAAACGCATTAATAATCAAAATTCACTACATTAATATACATGGCAACATTGCTTGCCATACTTACACAGAATATCTTTGTTCCAACTACAAATCGAATGTTTTTATATCAAAATGTCTTTTTGAGTAAAATAAAACGCTTTAATATTTGTTTTAAACTATATATTTTGAAGTAAATAAATCTACTAGAGATATAACGCATTCTGAATATTCTTTGTCGCAACTGCCTTTGTTTTTGCCGATTTTTTCCGCCAATATCAGCTTTTCTTCGAAATTTAAATTTGATTTTGTTATATTTGAAGTTTGGGTATCGATTTCCAGGGATGGACTAAAATTAAATTAAAATATTAAACAGTTTTGGTTAATAAAAAATTATTTACGTAAACATGAAATGAACTATTTTTTCCAACAAATTTGAGTCGGTTGCGTGCATTGGACATTCTGAGATTTCACATATTGTCCTCAAAAGACATTCTTCTCCATTGATACCAAAACTAAAAAAAAATCTGTATTTTGTTTGTGCTAATGTACTACGTAGTACAATACCTATCTAAAAACGCCATAATGTATTTGTAAAAAAACTCTCTGGATATGTCGAAATTTGATTTTTCTCTAGCCGATATAACCTTAGTGTGTAGCGCAGATAATTGACTGGGTTCATTGTAGTTAACCTGAGCGCATAGACTTAAATTTATTGATCTTCTGGGTAAAACCAATGGTACACTTAATCCATATGTAAACTAAAAAAATACCAATAATAATAATAATTATTATTACCCATGAATAAAAACAGAGTGAATAGTAGATTATAATATAGGCAACTAGTAATACTTACTTGTAAAACTGTATTTCTTGGAAATAGTAGGGCTCTTTTTGTAACATTGTGACTTTTATTACAAAAAACAATTGCTAAAATATGTGAAACTATGAAAATTTTGCTTAATAACAATGTCATATTGAATATTAGTTATATGTATATAATTTATTTCACTGGACAACATCAGTATTATTTATTTATCATAATTTAATTAGAAATGTGTTAATTATTTGTTCAAATATGTTTAACGTAACTTAATATTTATTAAGCTGTACAATGTTTAAACCGTTAACTACGAAATTGTATACCATATACAGGGTGACCTACAACCCAAGCAGCATTTTTGGTTCCAAAAACCATTACCAAAGTGGTGATAACTTTAAATTAGTTAAGTATACCAAACAGCTACTTTAATTTTTACTTAAAAGTAATTCTAACTTTTAAATAGCAATATTTTGTAACAGAAACTTCATTCTTTCCTTAAATGGTTACTATAAAGTAATAAACATTTAAGTAAAACTTGGTTGCCCCCAAGAAGACTTTGCCACTTTAAAAAAGGTGTTTTAAGTAAAAAAAACTTTCAAGTAAATTTTATTTGTAGCAGTTACTTTCGGTTGCTACCTAAAGATTACATTATAATTATTTTTACTTTGTAGTCCCTTGCAAGTTAAAATCTCGAAACTGGAACATGAGTTAAAAACTACAAAGTTAATAACTTAAAAGTTATTACTTTAGTATTTGGAACGTTTATGGTACTAAACAAAACCACCGTAAAGTAAATTAAAGTGGAAAAAAACTTTAAAGTAGCGAAAACTACTTCAAAGGAAAATGCTTCTTATCGGCCATTTTTTAATGTACAGTACCACGTGGTAATGTAAATAATAAATTATTTTAATTGTTTGTAAATGGTTGTTTCCTTTTTAATAAATAGTAATTTTGTTGGTAATAGACGGTATTAATAATTAAATAAAAAAATAAAAATAAATATTAAGATTTTTTGTATTTATAAACATTATTAAATAAATAATTTGTTTATACTTAAATATTGATGATGCGCACACTGAGAGAAGGTTTTATTTCAGCGAAAGGCATAACGTAAATGGTAAAAAACCATCAAATTGGACCTTCCGGAAAACTGCTTTTGAACGAAACGCATGTAGATTTGTGTCAAATTTGCTGAATTGAAATTCTTTGTTGAATACTTTTGTGATAAATTGGTAATTGCTTGCTACCAGTATAGTCGATTTTGTATGAATCGATGTAAGTTTGCCTCAAACTTACTAATTTTGAATTTCTTGGCAAGTAACTTTAGGAAAAATTGGTATCTGCTTGTTACCAATAAAGTTCATTTCCATTAAACATACCTGCATTTTTGGAGAAATTACGGTTTCTTTGGATAAAACGCCATAATGCTTAAGAATATTGTATAAATCGTCGGCCATATCACGAAGTGGCCTAACCCACAAAATTGAAAAACTAAATGAGATTTTTTGCAGATTAACTTACGATGGTCTATTCTATTCTTACGAAATGGCCTATGTATTTTTACAGTACAGACTTTGACTATGGGCCACCTCGTGAAGTAATAGAATATACCATCGCAAGTTAACTCTCGCAAAATGTCACTGTTTTCAATTTTGTGGATTAGGTCACTTCGTGATAAGGCCGATTATTTATACAATATTCTTAAACGTTATGCCATTTCATCCATATGTTTTTATGGATGCAAAATTATTTTGTAAGAACCGTATGTATACAGTGGAGGCAAATTTAAAACTTTATAAGACACTGTAAGTGCACGAGAAGACGCGTTTCAAGAGGCGTTCCCCCACTCCAAAAATTGCGCTTTCCAAACTAAGCACAATTGCCCATTAACTTTAATATGTTTGACACAAACTTATTATATTTGTTGCAAATGCTGAGCTTTTCGCAAAAATTGTAGCAGATTTATTATAAGTTTTATCTATTTCAGTTAACCCATTAATAAATTTTAGTGGAAAATATTGCACGTTTTATGAAAACCCACCTAAATTTAATTCAAACGTAAAAAACCTAATATTATTGACTATCAATACAAAGTTTGCATAGAACTTAATAATAATCCAAGCAAACACAGCAGCCTAAGCGAATCATCCATTTCTGGCAAAGCAGTTCACTCATTCTAAGCAAAAGCACTAATGTTGAATTAAATTTCAGTTGTTTGATTCAAAGCAATCAGGCTCAAACAATTGCAACGTTTGTTAAAAATATTCTTTTCTCTCAGTGCATTTATTTTACAAAAACAAAATTCATAAGTTCAACAGTAAAATTTAAAGGGTTTATAAATTTACCTGCCTAAATGTTATTCTGGAAGTTGTAAACCACCAGTACATATTTAATAAACGACGACATTGAAAAGCCAAGTCCGTGTGGTTCCATTTAAAAAAGGAGGGATAGTGTAATCTAATATAAGTTTGACAAAGACTGTTAATGTAGAAGTAAAAACAAATAAATAAAGGTAATTATAATGCTCTAGCAACGATATTACAACGTTCTAGTAACGTAGCAGCTACGTTCCAAATAGTAGCAGGGTTTATAGCTAGTGACATATTTGCTACCTTTTGGAACTCAATAATTGTTCCTCACTTTAGTCGTAACTTAGTAATGAAAGAGTAATATAAAGAGACTGTCGCAAAACACTTTAAAGTTTCTTCAATAGTCCCATATACGTTTACGTATTTGTTATAACAAATACTTAAATTGTTGCTTGGGAAACCCCAAGAAATGCCAGAAAATTGTTAAAAAATTCTTTCCTGTTCGTTTGGTCTCCAGATTCGGCCCGCAAAGTCGCCGGATTTAACTCCGTTCGACTTTTTCCAATGGGGTGCCTTAAAAAATTTAAAAAGTAAAAATTAGGTGTTTTTATAATTAAAAATGATTTAAAATTATTTTTATACCCGATAATTAATTTTTTACTGGTGTTACTCATCGTTAATGTAATTACGGAAATTTACCTGATTTTTATTTTATGGGAATATAATTATTGTGTTGTTTAATTTTTTTTAAGAAAACAAAACAATATTTTGAATTACCTAATTTTTTTGGCCATTAAAATAAATTAAAAAAACATATAATTGATTTAAAATAAATATAATTTATGGTATTGTCCTTGCTATTTAAAAAAATGCGTATTATCTTTTTTTATTTTAGGAAGACTTATTACGTAAAATATTTTTTTACAAGTTTTACGTGGGTTTTGTTTTATGTAGGTGGGTGATTATATTGAGATGTCCCCCAAGTAAAAATGATTATTTTTTATTTTTGGTTGTTTCACTGTTAGTCTAGAATGGGGTTTTTGGGAAGCCACTAGGTCTAGTAATAACATAACATAAGTGGTTCTGCACTAATGCAAGAATTTTAAGAAATCATACATTTTGAATATTAGAGCTTCACGGAAGATAGCTTCACGGAGGATAGGATTTCGTATGTTTTTGTAAATTTGAAATAATAATAATATTTTTTATAAATACAATTGTACATACATACATAAAATATTTATAAAAAACTCTACTTACTGAGATATTACACTTCACGGTGGATAGGTTTTTAAATAGCAAATTAATGAACTTAAACTTTTGAATTATAAAACAGCAACACTCTCATCTGCATATAAATTCTAACTGACCTTCAGCAATCATATGCATCTATAATCATTATAGTATAATGCCGTAAACAGAGGTTTTTGCTTATTTAAAATGATTAAAGCGCCATCCGTTGCATAAAATTTAAAGCAAAAACATATTCACGGAGGATAGAATCAATTTTTGTAACACCTACATAAATGGTTATAAAAATTATTTCTTTTAATTTTTAATAATGTTTTATATTTGATTCGATTGCTTTGGATGTGTTTAATTTACTTAGTGAACTGATATTTTTAGTATGCTTTTGCTACCTCAGATATAGGTTAACCTAGAAAGAGTAACAGTCACGGAGGATAGGTTTTAGGCTTTTAAAACATTGTAAAAAATAATTAATTGCGTGAGATTTGCCCATATATTTTTACATTTTTAAATTCTTTATAATGTAAAATTGCTATACTATGTCCTAGTTTTCGAGTTATTAATTTTTTTTCGTTAAAATTTGACAAATGGAATTTTTGGAATCTTAAAAGTTAATAACTTTTTTAAATGTTTTTACATAATAAAATAGTAAATTAATTTAATTTTAAGTTTTAAATAGATATCCCCGTAAACTTTTAATGGACCACGAATGCGAAACACCCTGTATACTACCAATTTATAAAATAAAAATCGTTTGTTGTATGAAAATATTTTATTTATTTTTTTTAAACAAATTAACATATATACAACTTAAATTTTATAAATAAAAACTAAATTTAATATCACTCATCGCAGTAACTATAATAATGCCTTACATTCCTCTATATATTAATTAAATTAAATTATAAATAAATAAAAACAAGAAATCTAGAACATACTTGAAACAAATGTAAACAAACTCCACAACAATCTTAAACACAAGAACCCTAGTAGAACTTTGATGATTTGGTGGAGGTAGTATAACCTAAAAAAAAAAAATTAATGTGTACACTGTTATAAAGATCAGATTTGTTAACATGAGTATGTAGTTTGTTAGTATCACAATATTTTCGACAAGCAGCATTTTTGGTTCCAAAAACCATTACCAAAGTGGTAATAACTTTAAATTAGTTGAGTATACTAAACAGCTATAGCTATTTAAAAGTTATAATTACTTTTAAGTAAAAATTAAAGTATACTTTAATTTTTACTTAAAAGTAATTATAACTTTTAAATAGCAATATTTTGTAACAGAAACTTCATTCTTTCCTTAAATGGTTACTATAAAGTAATAAACATTTTGGTAAAACTTGGTGGCCCCCAAGAAGACTTTGCAACTTTAAAAAAGGTGTTATTAGTAAAAAAAACTTTCAAGTAAATTTAATTTGTAGCAGTTACTTTCGGTTGCTACCTAAAGATTACATTATAATTATTTTTACTTTGTGGTCCCTTTGCAAGTTAAAATCTCGAAACTGGAACATGAGTTAAAAACTACAAAGTTAATTACTTAAAAATTATCATTTTAGTATTTGGAACGTTTATGGTACTAACCAAAACTACCGTAAAGTAAATTAAGGTGGAAAAAAACTTTAAAGTAGCGAAAACTACTTCAAAGGAAAATGCTTCTTATCGGCCATTTTTTACTGTACAGTACCACGTGGTAATGTAAATAATAAATTATTTTAATTGTTTGTAAATGGTTGTTTACTTTTTAATAAATAGTAATTTTGTTGGTAATAATTAAATAAAAAATTAATAATAAATATTATGATTTATTTATTTATAAAAATTATTAAATAAATAATTTGTTTATACTTAAATATTGATGAAGCGCATTTATTTTACAAAAACTAAATTCATAGGTTCAACAGTAAAATTTAAAGGGTTTATAAATTTACCTGCCTAATTAAACATTATATTGTTATTCTTGAAGTTATAAACAAATAAATAAAAGTAATTATAACGCTCTAGCAACGATATTGACATATTTGCTACCTTTTTGGAATTCAATAATTGTTCCCCACTTTAGTCGTAACTTAGTAATATAAAGAGACCATGTGTATGTTATTTTTGTGTTCATTTATGTAGGTAATAAATAATATAGAAATACCTTTTCCATTTTTTGAGGGCCTCTGGGAGAGTTTCCATTGGATCTTGGATAAGGTAAATCCTAATTCCTTTTAGGTATACTGTAAAGTATTCTCTCCAGTCTAAGAGTTTCAAGTCGCAGAAGAAGATATCTCTGTCTTTTTCAGTCATGTCGTTCAGCATATTTCTTATGTTTTGCGAGTGGAAGGTCCAATTCCTCGTGCAGAAGTACGAAATTACCGCGGAAAATTTGTGGATTTTTCTGTAAACCTTTAACATCCTAAAATAGAAATAATAATTTTCCATGCTAAATTACCTTCCATTTGGCTACTTACATGGGTGATTTACCAACGCATAGTAGAGCGCCATCTACAATCAATGCGGGCAAAGTGTGAAGCAGAAACTGTGTGATGAAGTACCCTATCAAGGTTGGCTGTAGCGTCAAAAAATAGAACCAAATTGCTTTAAAACTTGGATAAGCCACCCCATATTCCTCAGAGTATTTCATGAATGTTCCCCAATTTATGGGCTTGTCATTGCTAGATTCGTAATTGAAGACAGGTATATCGAATGGTTTTTCTTCCTTTTTACTATCTTCGAATGATTTTCCTATCTGCCACCCGCAAGCAATCATAGCGTTGACAGCCTGGAAAAGAACATTAATGTTCGATCACAATCAGTGTTGCCACCTATAACTTATAAATAACCACAGATTTGTTCTTTAAACAGTCCAGAATTTTATAACCAAAACAAACCTGTATTTATTTTATTGGTTACTGTGATGGCTACAAGATGGCGATAGTGCTAAAATATGTTTATTTTAGAATAGAAATATAATTTCGATTAAATCGATTTATTATAAGAAAAATAATACCATTTATTATTGAATTTTGAAAAACGTGTGAAGTATAATTTATCTAAAATTCCGCAACAGTGTTGCCACAACACCTGCGTATTTCCTTGGATGTAGGCGTGCCTGCCACGAATATGCTAATACGAGAGAAGGAGACAACTATGATATCGCATTGTAATAGAACGAGACAACAAGGTTAACGCCAATCGTGAGTCTAAATTAGTTCAGGCATGCTTCTGAGCCAATAATCTAGCTATAAATATTAGTTTAAATTGCGGTCGTTTCAAATTCAAATAATTTAAATGTTGCTGGGTATTCCACGTATAAAATCAATCAATTTTATTGACTATATCACAATTCATGTAATAGAAATATTAAAAATTTATAGTGTATTTATTATAGAAAGTAAAATATTTAAATTATACTTAATTTTTTAATTCTCTATAATGAGGCATAATTATACGTACGTACAATGTACGAAATCACATGTAAGATAAAATTAAAATGTACAATAATTTCATGTAAATCAAATTGCAGAAGGGAATAAAACTACCCAATATTAACAAAATCTTAAATTTTGGATAAACAAGTTTATTTTAATTAACTTTTTATTCTTTATATTTTTTAATAATAAATTTAAAATATATAACAAGATTTTAAACACTTATATTAGAAAAACCAAGAAAAAATTAATTCTACAATAGTTTTGATATGCTGCGACAATAATCTTTTGTGGACTGTATGGCAAGTTGCCAGTGGCACCAATAGGACCACAACAGAATATAAAAAAATTCTTACTAGGAAAGAAAAAAGTAATAGATTTACATCGTTTCGTAATAGGGTAATATATTTTCCCTATAAGTAAGAGATCTATTACTAAAGTAATTGAGGTGGCAACACTGATCATAATCCACACAAGGTCTGTTCCAAGCTACTAGAAAACAAGGTATGCTATTGCGCATCTGTTTCCACCACTCCATCAGATTGGTCGTCGTAATTTGACTTTTGAACTAGTATTAATATGAAAATTATTTTATGCTAAAAAAACTATATACGACATGATTTTTTCATTTTATTAATTAATTAAGCTGTGTTGAATATTTTTCCTAAAGGAATAATTCTCAATGGGCCATTAATTCATTTGTTCGTAGATGCTACAATAACCTGCACTGGTGTGTACTTTTTGATCAACCAGATTTAAATATTGCTGTACTAACATACACCAGTGGAGATAGTGCAGGGTCTACCAACAGACCTCATTGCTAAATTATTAAAGTTTAATAGCATATCGATCGTTTTTTCAACATAACCTTTGAAATTTTTACTACAAATATAGGTACTGTATATAATACATAAATATACTTTACATCATATCCTCGGTGCTTTACATACCCGAGTTGTTACGGTAAATAAAAATCAGACAAAGGAACCAAAGAAAGGAACTATTTTCAACAAAATCATATGCAGAAATGAGAAAATTCAAACTACTTGCATCCATCAAAAGATCAAAACTTCTTGCAATATTACACCCTCTTTTTATACTCTCAGAAATATTGACTAGAACAGTATTAGTGAGACTCCAGTTTCTATAACTTGGTAGAGTAAAGAGAAGTCGAAACCGTTGCGATATTGCATTGCGCTGTTTTTGTATACTTCTCGGGGACATCAACGAAAATCATTGCCAGTAAAATTCGAAAAGCTCGAGTTTCTATGTATTTGAAGAGAATAGGAATCCGAAGTTGCTGCACCATTGGACTGAATCCTTTTTTAATAATTTCTAGAGACATAAATGACTGCACCATTCGACAGGGTCGAGTTTCTACCTCTCTGTTAAATATAGAAAATCAAAACAATGTATCTTGTAAGACACCATTGAGTTTGACTTTAAATATAGTCGTGCATAGGTATAGAGCCGAAAAATATAAAAAGAAAGCACGATTCAATACAGTTCTGATAAAACTTTAAGATTTAATATTCAAACGCGGAGTCGTCCTATACAGTTCTATATTTTTCCGTTTGCTGTGGAGGAACATAGGTACCTTGTTTTTTTGTACCAATGGTACAGTACCATGGAACAGACCTTCTAATGTGTATTGTGGATCAGATTGAGTTTTTTGTAATATCAAAAAATATTTACCATATCAACCGGAACTATGTTGGCATTCACTTCCGGCTTACAGTGCAGGGTTCTCAGTACTCCAGTGCCGGATCCAGCGCATACTCCAGTTGGGCCATAAAGGTTATTAATCCAGGCCTTAATGGGTTCTTTATAAGTGGATATTACTAAAATGAAAAATATGACAAATTACCTACACTGGTTTACAGACAAAATGTACATTCAATGAGAACTTACCAATGGATGGTCTAAAAATACCAATGGGCAGACCTTGACCATCGTTTTTCACAACGTCTTCTGCAACTCCTTTAGTAAAGGCATATGTGTTTGGGTAAGTGTCGAGCATTCTACAATAAAGTGCAAAGGTTTAGTAACAGAAACAATTTGTGCTAAATTGTAAGTAAATGAGTATTTTAGAGACTTTTTTAATATAATATTTTGTGGTAAAATTGTGGCACATAATACCACAGCATTGTTTAATAATAATTTATCCAATTTATTTAAAATTTTTAATAATTTTGGGATGTGAGGGTGGTAAAAAGTAAAATGAAACTAAATTATTAATTTAGATTTGTATTCAGCGACTTATAAAAAAAATATGGAAAATAGAATACCTAAACTATAGTTTATATAAATATAAACTGACACTGACAACATAAAATAATCATAACAAAACATAAACTACAAACTGAATATTGAGGTATAATTCAACACTTATAATAGTACAAATGTTGATATATTAAATATGTAAGGATAGAATTAAGTAAATATAAATATAAACTGAAACATTAATTACAAACTAAAGTAAGCTGATCAATAATGTAGCACAGTAGGAACATAGAAACACTTTTTATCCTCATTTGATCAACAGGTCATAATTATTGATTTATCCCAACTGATGATGCAGATTGCAGTTGAGCGACCGGCCGGCGTCTCATTTCAAGCGGGAAATCATTTCATTGGTTATCTTAGGTGGTGTGATGCTTCACACCCGAAAAAATTGTCCAATATTGTAAAATTTATATTCTAACTCAAAGTTATACGAATTCAGTCAGGTTCCAGCAATTAAGAAGGCCCCACGCGAGAACAAGAGCTCTTAAAACGTAAAAGTTTAAAGATTAAAATCAACATAATTTTTAAAAAGTGCAAACCAATTATAGTGAAACAAACAATTTTTATATAGTGCAAACTAAAATGGTGTAACGGTCAATGAGGAGTGAAGTGTTAAGTAATATGAATGAGTTAAGTGCCAACTGTCATTGGACAAACAAAGGAGGTCAAACAAGAGGGGAGGTGGCCATCCGCAAAAAATTGATAAGTAACCTTAAGCATATGCATGAGCTAACACAATCTGCAAATTAAACACGACAGATATCTTTAAAACCCTAAGAAAGGCACACTGCGTAGGAAAATAAATCTGTCAACAACAAATGCGTAAGGCAAACCCAAACGATACCAATAATAAACACTACACACACAGAATAAACTAACACATTAATCATAATAACCCTAACCTAGTAAAAAAAGCATAATAACCAAACTTTACTGGATTTGTAAATATTAAATAACAGAATAATTGCGCTTGTCATTTGTTTAACTAATAAATAAATGCAATACTTAATTTTGGAATTTAAGAAAAAAATACAAAACTCTACCACAAAACGTGCTTGGGACAAAAATTACGCAAACTTGAAAGGAAGATCATTACACTACTAACGACAGACTTACCCGACTACCATCACCAACATCCCCGCGACCTGCTAATGGGCAAAACCATTACCAAAAGGGTAAGAGTAGCCCAATTAAAATACTGGGCCCACGTCACTCGTAGGCAACGCAATAACATACTACAAGCCAGGGTTGCCAACCGTACTAAAATTATAGTATTTCTACTATAATTTTATGTCCGTGTACTATGTACTATAGCAAAGTATTATAGTACGTTAAAATACTATAATAATAATAATAGTATTATTATTATAATACCTACTTCTTTAAAAAATCTATAATTTTTAAAAAAGAAAACTAGAATTTTTGAAAAAGAAAACTGCAAAATTTTTATTTTCGCGCCTTCTTTTATGCAAAAGCAAAACTAGCCACATGAAATACCGTGGTGCGCATTAGCGCGGCGCGTGCATTTATTATCTTATTTAACTGTTATTTTTATCAAAGAAAAATATTTTTATAGATTATACGTGTAAATATAGCGTGTACATTTTATGATAAAGGCTATGTACCTACAGAATACATTTTCAATTGCATACAAAGTTTGTAAACTTATCAGTTATTGTCACAACAAACGTTTTGTGAAAATAGATAATATAATAAAAAAGCTGTTTTTATTAAAATTCTAACTGCTAGTAGCCTATTGGTTAAAAAGGGGAAAAAATGTGGGCTCCTGCTTCTCAAAAACCTATACGTCATCTGTACTATAATTTTTCAAAAAAATACTATAATTAAATTGAGAAAATACCTACTATAATGTGCATCTCAAGAGTTGGCAACCCTGCTACAAGCCACCCTTAAACTAGACCTTACAGACAAAAAAGTCGGGAGACCATGCTTCACATTGCATGACACGTTAGCACAAAACATGCACTTCCCACAAATTAACAAGACCAGTTGGGAGCAACTAAGCAACAATAAAAATAAAATAAAAAAAACAACTGACACTTTACCAAGTGCAGGAACTATCTGACCAAGACACGGACAATGACAATAACGAACAAGACGAAGACCCCGACTAGGAAACTACACCCCTGCAGTGAAATAACAACTCCCCAACTCCAAATAGTAATCCCAAATCTTTGGAGTAATATTAATCGACTGGTCTAGGGGGATTCCACGTCGTACTTAGTTTTAAGTCGGCGTAATTGTCCCCAAAAACCAACAAATGTCTATCCCTCCCGTCCCGTCCCTCCCCCTCTATACCCTACTGGGCGAATAGCATCGGCTCGGCGAACCCGAGAATGGCTATTAAAACTATTCGCATGTCGCTCTCGAGCCCAAAATAGGGGACAGTACGGAACGCAATGGACATTCATTCAGCAAACACTGGGGGCGAACAAAAATCGGCGTAAGTAAACATAGACCTGTACGGGGTCCGGGAGTGATGAGGCAATGGGGCTTGTTATATATATATATATATGTATACGTCTCTTATACTCATACTCATACTCAACTCTACAAAACTTCTACAAAAGAGTAACATTTATTTTGAAGTATTTTTAACAACAGATTTCAACTCTTTTCTTCACAATATTGTGCAAATGGTTAAATATAAATAATATCTTACTGCAGTAAGATATTATTTATGTTTCCAACAAATTACAGAAAATTGACTTATACTTACGATGGAGTAACCGAGTCCAGAATTTTATCAGATAAACTTTCGGCCAGCAAAATCAACTTTTTACTCTCCACGTGTGGTGTGTATATTCTTTCTTCAATATGCGTCTGATTGCAATTTGAAAAAGCTGTAGATACGTGCACGAAAGATTTTAAATTTTTCATTTGTTTACTAAGAGATATTATGTCCTGAGGACCACGCACGTTGATTGCTACGGCTAGCTTCATTTTTTCGTCGAATTTCACAGTCGCTGCCACATGGAAAATGACGTGAACCTGTAAGAAAATAAATAATTTAGTTTATATTACGAAAAATCATAAAAAAAAATTATTTTAATTTTAAATTTTATTATTAAACCTGGTACTTTTTGACCACTGTGCCATGGTTCCAGAATGTTTTTTTATGAAAAAACATTTTGGCGCCCTCTATCGTGTTAAGAACTAAATACAGAAAGTTTTGTCCACAACAATTATAATATATGGGTGAATCTCACGAAATGTCCCCCGATATTTAATAAAACTAAATAAGTTTGACCTACACTTTTATTGTGTTTTGATCTTTCAAATTTAAGTAGATACTACAGCTTAGGTTCCAGATTTTTAACCGCAATTAATTTTTTACAATGTTTTAAAAGTCTAAAACCTATCCTCCGTGACTGTTACTCTTTCTAGGTTAACCTATATGTTTTCAAATATCTGAGGTAGTAAAAGCACACTAAATATAAGTTCACTAAGTAAATTAAACACATCCAAAGCAATCGAATCAAATATAAAATATTATTAAAAATTAAAAGAAATAATTTTTATAACCATTTATGTCTAGGTAATAAATTGATTCTATCCTTGGAATTTATACGTATATGAGAGTGTTGCTGTTTTATAATTCAAAAGTTTAAATTCATTAATTTGCTATTTAAAAAACCTATCCACCGTGAAGTGTAATATCTTTTTTTATAAATATTTTATGTATGTACAGGGTGATCCCCTATAATTTCACCCCCCTTAACTTTTTTATTTTAAGTCTCCCAAAAAATTTAAAAGTGTGGTTATGTAGGAACTAAAAAATACTTTTTTTCTACGTACATATAAAGAAAATTGGAAAATTAATCAGTATACAGGAAAAAACAAAAAGTTTATTTTTTTTCAATGGATCACCCTATATATGTATTTATTTTTCGATTCCTTGTAAAAATTCTAAGCATATTTCATATAACATACCATATACCTAAATTCAACCGTTTCTGAAATATTTAAATTATTTTTAAGATAATAATTTGAAATAGTTTGTGTTTCTCTGTCTGAGTACCCCATTTTTACTTATTTAACAAGACATATTGACATAGTGTGACTATAGTAATTTATTTTAAATAGAAATTTTGGTATACTGAGGCTTCTTGATTTCACAGTTTAAAAAACATTTAATGATAACATTTCGAATGCGAATATTTCAGAAACGGTTGAGTTTAGGTAGGTATATGGTTTGTTATATGAATTATGCTCAGAATTTTACAAGGAATCGAAAAATAAATTCATATACAGGGTGATTCTTTGAAAAAAAATAAACTTTTTGTTTTTCCCTGTATATTGATCAATTTTTAATTTTTTTAATAAGTAGTAAAAAAGTATTTTTTAGTACCTACATAATCACACTTTTAAATTTTTTGGGACACTTAAAATAAAAAAGTTTAAGGGGGGCGACTTTATAGGGGATCACCCTGTACAATTGTATTTTTAAAAAATATTAAGGTGTCAAAAGATACAATAACTTATTTCAAATATACAAAGGGATGTTTAAAAAAGCATATGAAATCCTAGCCTCCGTGAAGCTATCTTCCGTGAAGCTCTAATATTCAAAATGTATTATTTCTTAAAATTCTTGCATTAGTGCAGAACCACTTATGTTATGTTATTACTAGACCTGGTGGCTTCCCAAAAACCCCATTCTAGACTAACAGTGAAACAACCAAAAATAAAAAATAATCATTTTCACTTGGAGGACATCTCAAGATATTCACCCTTATGTTGAAAATTTGAAGGTCTTAATTTTTTGTTTCAACACCTTTTTTGCCCTACCAATATTATAGTATTTATTTTTAATTTTATTATATTTTATTATATTATGTTGCCAAACGCATTCTTTTTATTTCTTAACACCATGAAATTCCAATAGCTCTCTGTATATTGCAACAAATAAAAAAATTGATATTCATACCACGGAACTAATAAAATCTGTTTTAAATACATACGTACACTGGTTAAATGAACTAAACAATAAATAATTCATTTTTAAAAAGAAAACATTCTAATGAAAGTAAAATTGTTTTCTACTAACACCTCTAAAACGCCCACTATTGTACATGTTTCCATGACACTAAGTAACCGGTTTTTAGTCAACTTTTTTAGACACTTATTTATTTAAACACTCGCTCGTGCCCAATTTTAATTCGTGATTAAAATGGCGTTTATCAAACTTGATTTTGTAATCGAAAGTGTGTTTTTTGCAAAATTTTATATAACGGTGAAATTTAAGATTTTTTTGAATAAAACTTTTTAGAAAATATATTCAAAATTTACAAAATTTTCATAATTTATTGTTAGTATTATTACTAACACGTGGTGACCAGTGTATTTTTAATTTAAAATTGATTTCATAGTATTTTTCAATGTCGCACCAAAAAAGATAATGACTACTGCATAATATAAACTTAATAACACCATTGGAAATCTATATATGGCCTCGCCATAAAAAATATTCGTGAAAATAAAACATTCCAATATCGATTTTCTTAATAATAAATACCCAACTAATTTACAAAATAAATACATGAATAATAAATTTTGTAATTGGTGGGGGATTCAATTATGGTAAAATTAAAGTTTTGTTAATTAAATTTTAACTTCTTGGTTAATGTCCCTTTTGGTTAAAAAGAAGGTAATATTTGGTAGTTTTTGGTTTATTTTACCCTTTTTTAACTAATTTTTAACTCTTAAGTCAATATATCACAGTTCCAGTTTTTTAACCGCAATTAATTATTTTTTACAATGTTTTAAAAGTCTAAAACCTATCCTCCGTGACTGTTACTCTTTCTAGATTAGATTAGATCCGTGAAGCTCTAATATTCAAAATGTATGATTTCTTAAAATTCTTGCATTAGTGCAGAACCACTTATGTTATAACATAATAAATATATTATATGTTATTACTAGACCTGGTGGCTTCCCAAAAACCCCATTCTAGACTAACAATATGGCGATTTTAGGATGCTTTTACTTATTGGTTATATAACAAATATAAATTAACTTGCACGTCCAGGGAAAAAAATACATTTCTATAGTTCCATACTTCTAATTTTATATTTGACCCAATAATAATTTACTTAGTAAAACAATACTTTATTATTCATTAAAGTATTTGCTTAATGTTAATTTTCAACTCTTTTAATATTCATTTTAAATGTGTTTTATTTAAACAAAGAATAAAAATTATATATTATCAAATAAAGGATTGTTCATAAATTAAGCGAAAATGTTTTCTCTTTTGAAATCCATATAATTTTTCAAATAAAAACTCAAATAAGATTTCAATTAAATATATTTAATATTGCAATACCACTAAATTATACTTGTATAATTATTATAACATTAGATTACTTTGAGACAAGTAAAAAAAAGCAATTCACTTTTGCCAAAATAACATTATTTTTGAAGAGAGTATAAATATTCAGTAGAATATAAAGAAAACATATCAAGTGAAAATACTAATACGACATTAATGCAATTAGCTTCCATCATTTTTTATATTTGAATAAAAACTTTAGTAAAAGAAATAATAAAAATTTAAAATGGTATAAAACCTGTAATTCTTGAATTTTTTTAATAAAATTTGAAATTTGTCGATAAACTTCAGTGAATTAAATATTGTACCACTTTCATTTGAATTATCTTAATTTGGGGGGGCAGGAGGCTGGGGGCACACTTAAAAACTAACTTTTTTTCGCAAACTTCAATTTAAATTCTGCTTGCGCAGAACTTGTCTATATAATGTTATTATAAACTTATATAAATTTGTCTAATGTCCAATGTCTAATAACTGAGATATGGGTGTACCCAAAATCCACCAGCCGCCACTGAATTTAACACATTACGGTTATTTTTTATATTTGGTTTATTTATAGTCAATTTAAACTCTTGAAATAACCTTAATTTATCTAAAGAAAAAAATTCCCAATTTCTAAAAAAATTGCTCCTTAAAATACAATTATTATTATTATTTTAATATCTGTATTTTATCATTTAAACTAAATTTAAATATTATAAAAAATTATGAGTGTCCTAAAATTATGCAAAAAGTTGTTCAACAAATAATTAACTTAAATTAGGTATGTATATTATCAAAAATTCAAAGTCAAAGAAAGCATAACCCCAGGCTAACCTACTTATTATTCTGCCCATAATTTAGGTTATTTTTAGAAAAAACGGTTAATAAATTTCAATATTAATTATTTAATTAACGGAGTCAAAAAAATACAATAAATAAACAAATCAAAAGACAAAGTTCATACAATAACAGTAGTTTATGCTTTTTTAAACCACGAGTTTTTTTATTTGTTAATTGCTTTGGTCAACAGTCTTATGGCTGCAAAATGAATAAATAATTTTATGATACTCATGATAACTAAATGGGGTATCATTGCCTCAAATGAATTTATTAAAATAAAAACTATAGAATTTTTAACCCTTTAACCAAAATAGTTTATTATGTTTTAAGTTCGATAAACGTCACCCCTGATAGCACACTTTATTCTAAGAATGTTTTTTAAACCTTCCAGTGAAAATATTCTTAGGATCATGCTATGTTTCTTCTAAAGAACATGCTTAAAAGACATATAGCATGATCCTAAGAATATTCTTACTGGCAGGTTCTTAGAAGGTGCAAAGTTTTAGTGGTAAAAATTAGTCTACTCTAAACATATGCTTAGAATGTTAAGAAAGTAATTGCTATAGAAAGTTCATTTAGGAATATTCTAGTTAAGCATATTTAGTTCAGTTACCTATATAAAAGTAAAATATACCATAAACAAAGTATAAAGGTATATACATACCTATACTTAAGTACCTAATTAGTAATTAGTATTAAATACTAAGTAAAAAACACAATCCAAAATATTTTTTATAGTTATTTGTCAAATTAAAACAATATTCGATAACAAAAATACTTTTACTATAGGTATTTTATTTTATGTTAAAAATAAATATTTATTAATTTGTATACCGATTTTTTATTTCTGAATTAACATTTTTATGTATAATAATCCTAACTATCTTCAACTTCAATCTAATCTGACTTATCCCACAAAATTATCCAATTTTACTTTTTATGAAATAATGTCATAAAACTTATGGTTTAGAGGTCAAATTGTTTATTTAATATTTTTAAATAAATATATACTAATATGTCGCAAAATTTTTTTAAGGGGACGACAAATACATTTCACTGTCATATTATGACAGTGAGGCGTATTTGTCGCCTCCTGAAGAATTCTACGAATGTAGAATACAACATATTAGAACGTGGGTATCTGACATATTTGGAAATATTCTCAAAAGCTTCTTAGAAGCTCCATAAGAAACCTTCTAAGAACATTCCAAAAACGTATTCTTAAAATGTTCTTAGGATGCTTTTTATAAAAAGCTTCTTATAAGCTTCCTATAGGAAGCTTATAAGAAGCTTTTCAGAATCTAATTGCATCATTAAAAGGGTATGTATTGAATGTTTTAAAAGTCCCTAAGAACATTCTTAGCAATAAGGGAAGGTTCTAAGAATATTCCATTATTCCGGGTCATGTCTTCTTAGAAGATTCTTAAAATCAAATTTTGATATCAGGGAATAAATTCCCTAAAGGTAAAGTTTAGAGACATTTAACAATTTCTGAGTTACCACCAAATCTGTCATTGTTTAAAATCAATTAAAATATTTGATTGAAAAATTAATAACGCAAAAAATATTGACTTTATGGTATAGTCATTTTACTCAGAATTTTATGTAGAATTAAAAAATGTAAAAATATATAAGGTGTCCTGTTTAAAATAACAAAGTTAAAGACATTTCCGGTAAAACAGGAAGTATTATTTTGTTCAAAATAATTTAGGAAAAAAGTCTAAATCGAATAATTTACGCTATTAAAATTTTAAATCGATGTCTTTCGCGATTCCCTAGAAACTTCTAACGGACTACGTACGTGAAACACCCTGTATATTAAACGTCATTTATGTGTAATGCTATACTTAATTATTAATAAAAGATACAACAATATTTGTATAAAAATGACAAAATGTACTAAACTAAACATTTATGAATACTGCTACTGCTAATTCAAAACTGATCCTGGCCACATAAACATCATTTGCATACAAAAGTTAATATCAGGCCCGTTCCTGGCGAGCGTGCAGTGCGTGCACGCACGCAGGCGCAACATTTTGGGGGCGCAAAATCAAAGAGTCAATCAGTACTTTTTAACGATAAACTTTATTGCATATAATACTTAAACAAACATAGGATTAAGGTTACCGCCTTTTTTTGCGACTCCTTATATTTTTTTTATATGAGGATCAAAATAAAAGGAGAGGAATGGTCATAATATTTTTAGTATTTGTTTGATAGTTGCAGTTGACGGTAGCAAAGTACACTTGTATAATTATTATAACATTAGATTACTTTGAGACAAGTAGGTACCATTTTAATGAAAAAAAAGCAATTCACTTTTGCCAAAATAACATTATTTTTGAAGAGAGTATAAATATTCAGTAGAATATAAAGAAAACATATCAAGTGAAAATACTAATACGACATTAATGCAATTAGCTTCCATCATTTTTTATATTAAAATAAAAACTTTACTAAAAGAAATAATAAAAATTTAAAATGGTATAAAACCTGTAATTCTTGAATTTTTTTAATAAAATTTAAATTTGTCTATAAACTTCAGTGAATTAAATATTGTACCACTTTAATTTGAATTATCTTAATTTGGGGGGGGGCAGGAGGCTGCTACAAAGTATAACAGTAGTTTACAAAGTGCGTGACTTTGTAACAGGCTCTTTAAAATATAATTAGTCAAAAATTACTAATTCAATTAGTCTAATTGAAGATAAATTTAAGGCAAAATAATTTAATAAATAATTAAAATATTAACAAAAAAATTACATTTTGATGTGATTAAGCAGAGCATTTTATTACGCAATTATTTTAAATCCTAGACGACCTAGAGCAAAACGAGACACATTTTTTAAATCAGCAGCCCAAAATTAGTTAAACTAGGCCGGAGTAGTCAATGTTAGAAAAAAGTTTCTAAAACTATTTTAGTTTAACTATAGTCAATAGCATTTGTATCCCGGACATTTAGCAGTCAACTCCTATGTAAAATTGTCCGCTGAATCCGAAAATGTCGTCAGTTATAAAAGTAGAACGTTTTTGAAATTTAGTAAATTTTCCATATAATATAAAATCGACTTTATCTTAAAAACTGCTTTACTTTCATAATTTTTGACGATTTTTTCGGATTCAGGGGACAATTTTACATAATAATAAGCTGTTAAATGTCCGGGATACAAATTGCTGTGGAATAAAGTTATTAGTGACTGCTATTTTACTTTGAAAACTCATTTTGGACTAATTCATTTTTAGAGAGTACGTCACTAAAAACCAGTTGTAGTTATTATATTGTTTAGATTGTTTTTTTTTGTTTTTTTAGAGTATTTTTATCACTGAATATTTTTTGTGATTTTGTTTGTTTGGTAATTTAATAAATATTTTTTATACTTAATTTAAGCGGTTGCCAGTTTGTATATATAAGTATATATATATATTTTAAATTTAAGGGCTTAAAATTAAAATATTTAATGTATTATATTTAAATATAAAAGGGGCGCACCAACGAATCCCGCACGTAGGCGCCAGACACCCCAGGAACGGGCCTGGTTAATATATCAAATAATAGTCAAATATCAATACTTTAATAAAACAAAGTTGCTTCTTCGATTATTTACCCTTAATTTTTTTTTAAATTTTAAACTAAATTATCACCAGCGCCCCCTGCACGTTGAAATCTAAACAAAATTTTTTCATAGATTAATTGTCATTAATAAGATCCACATTTTGTCAAAATTTCAAATCGATACGTTTTAAAATAAAAAAGTTTTTAAAAATTGAAATTTTTGTGAAGAAAAAAATAAAAATAAAAACAAAGTTGTCAATGGTCAAAGTATTGCATTTAGATGTAGAAATAAGGTAAAAAAGTTTCGATTTCTTGAATTGTGGTAAGGGGAATTTAAGCTTAAATACTAACAACGCTGGTAGTATCAGTGAAGATCAGAAGCTTTTGAATAAAGCAATACATACTATTGGACCGAGAGATATTTGCTCTAAAACCAAAATAAAATGTGGTTAGGTCAATAGTATATGCTTTTGTAGCATAGACAAATTTTCTTTCTTAGAAAGTTCCTATAGGAATGCTTAATTGAGAAGTTTATAAACTTCTCAATTAAGCACGGTGGTCAAAACTAAAGTATAGGACGAACAAAAATGCCAACCAATATGATTATAGACTCTTTTGGTAACACAAAAATGTATTTATCAAAATCCCAGCTGATCCTTTATTAAAGTTTTGCATATTTCTTAGTATTTTAAAATTGTTTATGCCATTTCGATAAAATACTCTAGTACCATTATCAAATGTTTGTAAAAAATTAAACTGAAATATGGATAAATTACATTATAAATACAAAATAATGTAAAATACAGTTTGCAATATCTTATTTATGTTTTAAGGAATCTAATACAAAACTATTAAATAACTAAAGATTCTTTGAAGCAAAATCGATTACTGCTTGCCTTAAATTTTCAGTAAAACTTTTTCTTGGGTTTTACATGGAATTGTTTTTAACAGTATTTTTAAATTCTTCAGTCTCTTTACAAAAATGCTTCTTACATCTAGCGATATCCCCTAGAAAGAAAGAGCATATCAAAACTTTAGTTCGTTCGTCCGTCCTCTTCCCTTAATATTTTTTATGCCCTTTATATCTTGCCATTTTGCAGATAAAGCACATACATTCTTGGCTGCCGCGAAATTCTCTAGCAATTTCTAAATTTTAAAAATTTGGCAATTGTGGCTATGGAAAAATACCGTTTTTACCATATTGAAGTAGGTAATTTTCAATCACTTAAGTTAAAGTGTTCGTTTGAAAAAGTCTGCAGTAATTTTTATATTTTCTCAGAAACTTTAAACTCTGAATTTTTCGATTACCAAAAACAATTTTGTCTCCACAGCCTGCACATACCTTCTTTCGATTTTCTTCATGGCTTAACTTGAATTTCGGTTTAATTTTTATTTTAAAATACTATTTTTAACTTTATAAAGTATACATTAAATAAACAACTAAAGCAAAATGTCACTTGCGTTATAACGTATAGCAATTTTTTTCATAACCACCTTAATTATTGTTTTACAAAATTTGCAAGTTGTAATTATTTCATAGACAAACTTCCAGTATTTTTTGTTATGAAAAATATCTAAGATATTATATATATAATTGTTATGGTTTGTTTTGAGTGGTAAAAAATAATTGGTGACTCAATAAATTAATACTGGGGAGTAAAGATACAAAGTTTATTATTTTGCTTAATTTTATTAAAATTGTACAGGTAGTTTTAGTACAATAATTGCAAAATAATATATAGAAATAGAAAAACAAAAAAGTTTGCAAAACTTTAAAATAGGATCAGCTGGGATTTTGATAAATACATGTTAGTGTTACCAAAAGGGTCTACAATCAAAATATGCAATCAGTTTTGGTTGGCATTTTTGTTTGTCCTATACTTAAGTTTTGACCACCGTGTAAGAGATGCATGCAGTTTTCTTGTTAAAAAACGTTTTCTTCATTCAAAAGAGAAATATATTTCTAAGGATATTAGGACACCAAATTTGTTTTAACATATTTACCTCGTCCATAAGTATTCTTCTATCCTGCAGGCTGAGTCCCAAGTGTGGTAAACTGCAGTCTCCGGCTACGCCTACTATTTTGTGTTTGAATTTCGGGCACTCTCTTTTAAGGCGGTCAAAGATTAGGTCGTCGAATAGCTCGTCGATTCTCGTGTGCATGTTTTTGCCTTTTTTCGTTCTGACCAGCACATAAATTGTGTTAAGGTCCGAGCATGACCTAAGCAACTTCTCCAGCAGAATCTTCCCCAAGAAACCGGTCCCTCCGGTCACAAATATGTTTGTTTTGCTGTAGAAACTTTGAATTGGCGTCATCTCGATAGAATTCTTCATGTTGTTCAATTTCGTCTCCAAATTAATATCTATATTATTGCTCTCTGTTAAAGAAGAAAAATTTGCATTAGTTTATTTTATTACTTTAATAGTATATTATTAAGGGTAACATTAAAAAAAAAGTCGATAATTTTTTTTTCGATTGCACGTGAAATTCTTCTTATATATGCTATAAAAAAATTCTGTAAAAATTTGAGCCTTTAATATAAACTTGAAGAACTCCATCATCGAATTTTAAGATTTTCCATTGATTTAACATGGAAAAATGATTTTTTAACCTTAATTTCTCCTGCAAACTATGTAGAACATTATTTTTCGAAAAAACCATAACTAATCCTTCTTCAGCATTAAATTCTATAAAAAAAAGTTCTTAGGGTCCAGTCTCTAACGTCAACATTTTTTGTATCACTTTTGGCTCCAAAATTGTGAGTCTTGTATTATCTTTTTAAATGATTATTCGCTATCATAATAAATTTTACAAAAAATTTGAAAATCTATCAACAAAATATCAAAATTTCTTTATAACAGTCAACAAAACGCTGAATTTACGCTTCAATTCTTTCAATTTTATTCTTTTTTCCATTTAATATAACAGTTTTTGGCTGTAACATATAATTTACACACAATTTTTAACTTTTTAAAGAATTTTTCCAATAACAACAGGATTAGTGATGGTTTTTCTGAAAAATAATGTTCTACATAGTTTGCAGGAGAAATGAAGGTTAAAAAATCATTTTTCCATGTTAAATCAATGGAAATTCTTAAAATTCGATGATGGAGTTCTTCAAGTTGATATTAAGGGCTCAAATTTTTACAGAATTTATTTTATAGCAGATATAACAAGAATTTCACGTGCAATCGAAAAAAAAACCTATCGACTTTTTTTGGAACACCCTAGTATATTATGTATCAAGTTTGATAAACGCCATTTTATACACGAATTTAATTTAGGCAAGAGCGATCTTGCGAGCGAGTGCTTAAGTTAATGAGTGTATAGAAAAGTTTATAAACGAGGTGCATACCATACTTTTTCTACGACAAATACTTATTATTATCTAAAAATGATTTAAATCAAAAATTTGTATAGAGCGCCATCTATGAAACAACAGGGAAAACTGTCAAATGTCACATTTTTACATTTTATAAACACAATTATAAAGGTTATAAATCGAAATGTATCTTGAAAATTGACAGTTTTTCACAGTGAAAGTAAAGAAAATGTTTTATGAGCACTTTACAGTGGAGTCCGTGCCCGAATTTAAGTTATAGTTTACTGCCGGCGAAATTAAAAGGTCAGTACAATGTTCAAATAAACTTTTCAAATATTGGCGTTGAGAAACTATTTAATACTTTTGTATTTTTGTATTGAGATAATAAAATAATTTTCACATTTAGTATATTTTACAAGAAAGGCACTTTATTTTAACGATTGTATGACATTTGACAACTGTCAACTAACTTAAAACTAACTTTAGCCCGTGACTAAAAACCTGTTGCTAACTTTAGCCCGTGACTAAAGCGCCGTAAAGCCACAACTTGTCAATGTGTATTTAAAAGGTCACTTAGTGTCATGGAAACATGTACGATAAAGGGCGTTTTAAAGGTGGGAGTAGAAAAAATAATAAATTCGTTTTTATGTCAAGAATTGAGGTCGAAAATTTACATATCGTCCTGGGAAAGGTTCAAACAGATAACTCCAGTTTGAATTTTTTTTCGTGAAGCTTGCATTTTTTCAAAAAAACAAGCTAATGTTGATAATACATGAAATTTTTTAGTGGAAGACCAAAATTCAGCTTTTTCTTTTATTTTTTTTGTAATATGTTTATTCTTTAATGAAAACCTAGTAACATTTTACTGATATTTTTTGATATTTCAACAAGGTATTTTCATCATGGTTTTATTTAGTCAATAAAAAGTGTAAAATGAGTAAAAGAAGTAGAGAGTTCGAGTGCGTAAATAACCCGCACAATCTGGGCGACGTAAGTGATGAGCACGGAGAACGTTTTCGCCAGCAAATGAAGGCTATGGAGCGGCGGTATCACGGCTTCTGGGATGCAGCCATGATGGGCGATTACATTTTGTCCCTCATACGAGAAACGGAATACGAGCAACAAAAAACAAAGATGTAGCCAGAATTTTTTTAAACCTATGCTTATTACAACAAAATAAAACTTTCAATTTCTTCAATGTTCAATATTCAATATATAATTTAATTTAAATATTTAATGTTTAAAATAAAAATCAATGTTCATTATTAAATTTTATATAATTCAATAAAACGAAGAAAAACTGAATTTTGGTCTTCCACTGAAAAATTCATAACTTCGCCATTTATCCATGGATTTTTATCAACAGCAGCTTATTTTTTTCCTTTAAGTATAATCTATACGTAAAATAAATCAAACTGGGCTTATCTTTTCGATTTCTATCTTTGCCAGAAAGATATGTAAATTTTCGACCTCGATCTTTATAAAAAAAAACTTTTTCAACTTCATAAAATCGCCAGTATCGAACTACTGAGCCGATACCAAAACTATACCAGAGAAAGTTGTAGATGGCTCAATTACCTTTGATTTAAGTGCTTGTTTGGTCAAATCGATCAATTAGAACTCGAAGTATACTCTAAAACGTCAAAACACCTCAAAAAATTAAAAAGAAAACAATTGAAAATTCATATCTCGAATACGCTTCCATGAAAAATATGTATTAATTAATTAAAATCATCACTTAGCCGTCTTGTTAAAATGTTACATTTTTGTTTTCATTTTTTCATATTGTTTTTCTTCTAAAAGAGTGTGGTTTTCGAGATTGTAACCTTTATTTTCACTACTTGCATAAATTAAAATTCATTCAAATTATAAGTATAGGTGTCCGTAACCTTCTTCATTGACATTATTGTGCTGCAAAAATACCTTGATTTTCAAAAACATTGCGTAACATAATATTTTAACACTCACAGGCAAAATAATCGGATCCACACAAATTTTCGATTAATTTCAATCGCAAATAACTTTTTTATTTGATGTCGGATTTAAACGAATATTAAAGAATATTGTAGATAAATTAATGGACAATCGCCCACATTTCAAAAAATTACTAAAAAATAGACGTACGTTTATAATATACAGCTTTAAACAAAAATATGTTTTTTACCATAAGTTTAAGACACTCTGTAGAGTAGCCAAACCGTATATTGTTCTTAATTAAGTTTTATTTATCAAGTCACATCTATTCTTAACAGTTTTGTTTTTGGTTCACCTCAATATACTTATTTTTGTGGAAAATATGGATTAAAAAAAAAAATTGCAATTTCCAATATTTTTCTGTATGAAAAACTAAGGTTGCTATGGTCCATCCATAGGCTATGAAGAATGACAGTGACAGTTTTTTTTAATCATCCCATACTTGGACATGTTATACACGGCTTTCAAAAGCCAAATTATTTTTTGTTAATGTTAATGTTAAAATATTGAGGTGTCTTCTTACTTTAAAAAATGGATATGTCTCCGACTGATGTTGCCAAAGCCATTAATTTAATCCAGGATGGACGGTCACAGTATTATGTGGCAAGTGTTTTAAACGTCACAAGAAGTAAAGTACAAAGGGCAAAATCAGTCGGAGACATTTTTAAAAGTAAGAAGACACCTCAAAATTAACACTTTAATTTACAAAAAAGAATTTGATAGCTTTTGAAAGCTGTATGTGGGATGATTCAAACAAAACTGTCACTGTCATCCTCCATAGGCTATGGATGGACCATAGCAACCTTAGTTCTTCATACAGAAAAAATATTGGAAATTGCAATGTTTTTTTTTTAAATCCATATTTTTCACAAATGCTAACAATAAAAATATTTAAACTAAAACGTGTATCAAATCTGCTGAAGGAAAAATGAAACAAAGTCAATAAAACAGTTTTTTTACAGTCATAAAATTTGTGTGTGAAATTTAACATATTCTTCTTAATAACTGTTAAACAAAGTAAGATAAGAAAAAAAATGCGAATAGAATCTAATTTAATTACCAAGTTGGACCAGTTTGGTGAAAAAGCAACGTTCTTTAAATATTTTGTTTAACAATACTATAATTTAAAAAAATACCCAAAAAAAATTATTAACCAATTCACGTGTTTGTTAGGTCAAAAGCGCATCTTTAGGAATTCTAAACCTGTGGTGGGATTTCCAATATCGCTTGGTTTTTATAAAAGTAAAAAACTCGACGAAATTAAAATGACTCAGCAAATAATTGAAATACGAACTTGGTTTATGTCCGCGATCTGGAGGTCACTTACCAGCTATTTCCCAAAAATTTTAATTGACACCACTTAATTGGTAAACACCGAAATTTTACGCAAAACAAGTTAAAATTACAATACAAAATTATTCAGTTAGTTTGTTAGTTTTGAAATTACATGTTTCCTTGATTTCACATAAATATACAAAGTGTCCCTGAAATTCATGTACATACAAAATTATATATGTAATTTTACTTAGAATATACAAAGGTTAAGAAGAACCCCCGAAAATAAAAGTTTGTGCAAAAACGTTTGTTTTACCATTTATTTAATAATAAATAAAACCAGGATTTGTAATTATTTTAAGAAAAAAAATATTTTACAGAAAGTTTTGTTAAGGTAGGTAATATAAATTTTGTAAATACGAGGTGTGTTCAGAAAATATCGGGAATTTTCGTTTTTTGAAACAAATATTTATTTATTCGTCTACATTAATGTTGTCGCCTTTAAAATAGTCCCCATTGGATATTATGCACATGTGCCAGCTCTTCTTCCAATACTCGAAACACTTCTAAAACTCGATCTTTGGGATAGCCTTTAGTTCTTTCAGCGATGCGCTTTTAATGTCATCTATGCTTGCAAAACGACGGCCCTTTAAGGTTCTCTTTATTTTTGGGAATAGAAAAAGTCAGACAGAGGCATGTCTGGCGAATATGGAGGCTGGGGCATCATTACAGTATTGTTTTTGGCCAAAAATTTTGTTCAAAATTTAACAATTTTAGAACAAATTTTGCTGCCACGCGTTTCATAC